CAAACCAAAGGGAGGTTTTCGGTGGGGGGGGGGGTGTAAAAAGGAAAAAAGGGGGGGCGGCCCCCCTTTCCTGGGTTTTGGGGGGGGGGGGGGGAAATTGAACCACGCGGGGGGCCCCCGAGCCCCCCCCCCCCCCCCCCCGATACGCTCTCAGCAACAACCCGACCCGCTTGCTGCCAGCCAATGCAGCACCACGCAGTCAAGGGAATAAGCGAGAGAGGTGTCAGCGAGCGGTTGACAATATGTCTGGGGTGCTCTTCGAGGATATCTTTGAGGTGGGGAAGCTCAATCCAGATGGAAAGAAGTTCGACAGAGGTGAGAAAACAGCCAGTTTCTTGGTGGGTGGATCCTCTTAACACTTGAAACGACCAACACGCCTTTTGAGTGCTGGCGCACCAGTTGGGCCTTCGGCTGCTACCAAGCCCGTACATAGCACGCACTACCATTAGTAGGGGGTGGATAGTGTTATCTTGCTGCTTCTCTCGACGAAGTTGACGAAATCCAGCCCTTGAAGCTATGTTGACCACCTCTCACCTCTCCGTGCCCCATGGGCATGCAAAAGAGAAGGAGGGCAGAGTTCTGCAATACCGGAGTTTTGGTCATTCAGCTGGTGGTGGTGGTGGTAGTGGTGCTGCTATTGTCATCAACCGCTATCGGTGTCTGATCAGGATTGATGGGCATCTGTGCGTTTGCTGTTTCCTCCGCAACAACTTCTGCGGGTTATGTTACACCATACGGCTGCAACACGTCGCAGCGTAGCGTGTAGCCACGCAAACATGGTACCTGTGTATGCCTACCAGGTTTTAGATGACTCGTTCACCGCGTTAAAAGCGCTCCGGTTGAAGCGTTAATTATCGTTCGTCTTATTAGCAAAGTCGGCGAGGACGTCGTCTAGCGGGGCACTCGGTACCCTACGCCTCAGCAGCCTACAGCAGTGCGACTGACTACATGTAGCCCTCTCGCTCAATGTGTCAAATGCAATGTGGCACCATTCTGTGGTATGCAGATACAGACCCAAACGTATGTAACGTCAATCGCTCTGTGAGAGGCGCCACGAGGGCATGCACATGCCGTGTTCTCCATTTTTTTTTTTTCCAGGAAACGCACCACTCGACTTGTCTCTTTTCCTCCCCATCGCACGAACCTGACTCTCCCCCCGCTGCCGGCTTGCTTCCAATTCCCTCCCTCGACACGACCGTGACCGATTGGATCGGCGCGGTAGTCAACCGGCTGGAGTGCAAGGGTGTGACCTACGATATGGATCTCCTGCTAGGTGAGCTATACTAAGGCGACACTCGCCGCCACAAACAGGACCGGCGAAGTGACCGCTATGGATGTGCCGATACACTGCTGCTGTAGAAGGTGCACGCCCCAGGTTGTGACGGAAGGATAAGAGTTTGGTCCTTGGTGGGTATGCATGGCTTGCGTCACCAACTCACTCTGAAAACCATCAGCAGTACAAAGCGGGGTGGTTCTGGCATATACCACGTAGCGATGTTGAACCGGGAAACTATCTACCTGCATCTGCGTGTTGGTCTGTTTCGCGTCGGCCAATGTGTGAAAAGCTTTCATGTCGAGATCATTTAGAAGGCGGGCTTCTGACGTATGCATAGGCACGTCTACCAAGACAGCAGTGGTAACTCCATGGCTTGGTTCCATTGCATCTTTTCCTGTTTCCCCCCCGCACCCTCTTTTGCGTCGCCCGTCCTCTGTATGTTGCGCAACACCCGGCCCTGAACGACAACATGGAAAGACACGAACTGCGACATTTACCCGGTGAAGGAAGGGGAGCGATTAACCTTTGTGATAGCCAGCACGCTGGATCTGAGCGGCAAGCCTGACGACGGCACTTACAAGCCACTGGGGGATGAGGTGATCATGTACTCATACACCGCACTTTTTTCCTTTCGAGTCACTACGCTACTTCACGACTCCCTGGGCGATCGAATTGTCAAGTAAGAAGTATATTTTTTCCCTTCGTCAAGAAGAACGTTTGGAATGCTGCTGCTGACGTGTTTGTTGTGAAATGTTTGTTCAGCTGCGTTTTGTGCAACGCGCACCAGCGTGCGTTCTCTCCCGGTCTCGTTGTGTGCGCAAAGAGCCGGTTTCCCGCTGCGACACGAGGTCCAAACGAGCAACGTCGAATCGCGTCACATCTCTCCGGGTAACAACGCCACCCTCATCTTTCCGTGTCCCTGCTAACCAAGCCGACCGCCCGTTTTTGCGCTTGCCGGGCGCGGGTGCGCAGGTGTCCCTGGCGGACAAATACGAGTACGTGATGCACGGGCGAGTGTACCGATTCGACCAGCAGAAGGACACCAAGGTCCAGGTAAGAAAGAGCCCGAATGTTGACATGGAGCGATGGTATGTAGGGGGATGACCATTTTATACTCCGATGTGGTGGCTGAGTATGTATGGGAATCGCGAGTGTGTAGTCATAAGCAGCACCTGTCCCTTCCGGTCGCCCGTCCCCCCCGCCACCGGCCGCCGCCGCAACGTTTTCGTTCCCCACCTGTTTGTTGTGTTTGGATGGCCCGGTCGTGTGGGAAAGGTGTTCGCTTCGTTCGGGGGACTGCTGATGCGCTTGACAGGGGACCAGCGACATGTTGCCAACATCGAGGTGGACTCGCGGGTGTTTTGTCTGCTTCGACGAAACGCGTGATGCGATGACGTCACCAGAGAGCAACCAAGGGGGCACAGGCGACAACAAAACCATCACGAAGGAACACATCGTGGTGTAGGGTATCCACGTCGTGCGTATTGGTAGAAGGGAAATTGTTGGATACGCAGCCGTTCCCAGAGGGCTGGTGTGTTTAAACTCCACAAAAGCACGAATTGTTCCGAAAGGTGGAAAGGGGGAAGGGGCGTAGGGCGTCGCGTGGCCGTGGATTGGAGCATGTTACGCTGTCTCGCGAGTTTGTGTGGATAAGGGCATGTATAAGGATATTACATTAGCGGCTCGCGACCTGTGTCTGAGCTGATGTTGTGTGCACTTGCGTGAGGTGTATGGTAGGAGACGCAAGAGGGTGTGAGGTCATTAAACAGTTTGGGGCGGGCGGTAGTGTTATTTTAGCGCGCTTACCGTTTGGACGTAGCGTTCTAAACACGCGGGCGCAAACATGTGGATCAATACTGGACGGTGTGTGTGTATTTTTTGCAACTTCCCCGTACCACGCAGCCTGTTGAAAAGATCTGACGTTCCCGGATGCTCGGTTTCGACTGAGAGGAGCCCATGGCGACGGCAATAAAAAGCGCGCGAGCTTCTATCTCTGCCCGCTGCCGCTGCTTTTACTTCTGCTGCCGACACTGGCGGCTTTGTCTCTTCGGGCGCTGCTGCAGCTCGCACCGCTGTTGGCGGCATCTTCGATGCTTGTTTCTTCGAAAGCCTCCAACCGCTGCTCATGCTGGTGATGCTGTCTCGCTGTTGCTGCTGCTGCCACTGCGGGCCTTCGTTGGTACGACGATAATCTGTGGTTCATGGGAAGATCGACCCAATTGTTGCGAATCTTGGCGAGAGCTTCAAGAGTAATCTCCCCGGCGCCGGAGGCGACCCGCCAGAGTTCTTTGAGCTCCCCAAGGTCGCCTGAGCGCGAAAGAAGTCAGCGTTTCAAGTGCGGTGCAAGTCAGGCGCGAGGGACGGGGGCGCTTGAGGTCGTTACTGCAGGCACACAAGCTCATTATTGCACACGAGATTCGCACGTGTCTTTGGCTATTGTGTCTCTCCCTCTCTCGTTATTTTCTCTCTCCCCCTCTACCTATCTCCATCCTCACGCGTGTTGCCTCCCTTCCTCCCATCTGTCCCGTAGTCACGTGTTGCGCAACCTCGCAAAGAGAACAGGCCCTGTGTTTCGAGGGCGGGGCCTTACCTGACACGAGCGCCCCGGGGGTGGCGCGTATGGTTTTCAGTGCGGTCGCGGCAAGCTGCCCGTTGGCCTCCACTTCCTTGTCTTCCACCCACCGTTCGCGATTGCCCATCCTCCAGAAGGCGGCTCTGCCCCCGAAAGAATTGTCGCGGTCAATGCGCACAAAAGTGACAATTTTAGCACGGAACCTACGCAGAGCTTGGGGGGATTCCGTGGTCGGGAAGGAGGTGGTGTCGTCTTTGTTTCGTTTGCGCTTGGACGAATGAATGAAGGAGCGAGAAGAGTCTGATGAAATAATAACGCCCGGAATCGTATTTAGTAGATATGGGTTGACATGTGTTTGTCGTAGCGGTTGGTGGATTCGTTTGGTTGCCTCTGGCCCTCGAAACCACCTTCTGCGGTCAAGATACGGCAACATGATGTGTGTCCCGCGAAACAAAGAGCGGCTGTGCCGATTTTATTTAACTCTGACAACAAGCTCACCTTGCCTTGCCTGAAGCACCAAACGAGTAAACGCCATACCCATCGAGTTGAGTTCCGACAAAGTTCCCGATCAGTCGATCCTTGTTCGTGTATTCGGCCACCCCCAGACCCTTGGGATGCCAAAGGTACACACCAGACGATCAACATGTCACCAGTACAACATCGAGGCCGGAGAAAAATATGGTCGAACGAGATTTGCGCGCAGGGGCTGATGCTGTGTGCGTAGGCTGTTGTGGGTGGGCGGTGGCGACGAGGTTGTCGAGAGTGTGTCGGAACATCATCTATAGGTAACACTAACGGGCGCAAATGCAAACGAATGCTCTAGAAAAGACACACGTACCATGTCAACCCGTTCATTGCGTCTATTCATCCAACATCGTTGACGTCGTAGACGACATGGATACACCGCACATGCTACAGAGAGGTCACACAGTTGGTGGCGTAGCCGACTTGATAACTTGTCCAAGAACGTAGAACGTGCCATTGCATGCAGCTATAATAGCTGTCTTCACCTCCGAAGCGGTGCAGAGCGTTCGTCAAAACACACTCGCCTGTCGAACACCTTCGCTCCACTGACCCGAGTATCTGGATACCCTGTACAGACCCCCCACACCTCCGATGAACATGCGACGCGGGTCGCCTCGCTCGTGCGCCAGCATCAGCTCGGAAGTGGCCCAGCCGTCCCTTTAACAAGCCGAGGCGGAACGGAGGCGAAAGAAACAACGTGTTCTTCGGCCAACCGCACAGGTGGCATGAAACACTTGTTTGGTACTTTGTGTTAGCGCTAACACTACGAGTCTAAACAAAGAGTGAGCGATTTGGCCGTCAAGATTTACACAACGAGCAAACGACACTATAGCCTCCTGGCACACCCCAGGCGGGAGTATCCTCGTTCATGTACAACTATGTAGTTGTTGTACGATCCACGTTTACGTCTCTCACATTTTTCCCTTCTTCCAGGTGCCCTCGGCGGTGCGGTCGTCGACACACAGGAACTTTCCTTGTCCTTCCCAGTGTCCTGTCCCAAAACCAGGTTATGCGCTGTGATTATTCTGCCTATTGTTGATATTTCGATTCAAACTGTTCCGGTAGTACTCACACGCTACGCTCCCGTGGACGGTAATTCAAGGATCCTAAAATGGCCCTCTGAGGGATGTGTGTAGGGGGGAGGGGCTTGGGTTCCCGACTGACATAATCACGAGCCGCTTTCTCAACGTTGTGGGTGGGCTCACGGCAGGCAGCTCGTTTCTGTTTGTGCTCGCTTGCTTGTTTGTTCTTGAGCTGATTTCGTCCGGGTCCAACTCACCAAGTTTCCATCCGCCCTCGTAGACGCAGTAACCCCGCCCGGCGTGAGTGTACCCCAAGGGACACCTAATCAGAGAGTGGTGCAAGGAACGCGAAAGAGGTGGATCAGTACGCGTTTGTCACCACTGCCCTCAGACAAACAAAAGCGACAAAAGCGATGTTCCCCGGTTTTCTCCGGTTTTCTCCGCCTCTCAAGGCTTTGGCATGCTTCCGGACGTCTCTCTCATGCTCTGAACGAGCGGTACGCAAACGTTGCGGGAGAACGCAGCTTTCACACGTTGATAGTGTATGCCAGGAGCATATACAGTCTCCAGGCAGAGTTAGCACTGTACTCGACACGACGTCCACAGCCTACATGCTGAGTAAGACGAGAACAACCTAGTACCTGAACGGTGTATCGTGTCTGTTACCCCACTGACATCTTCCCTGACCGTGGCGGTAGTTGGCCCGCAGTTGGCCCTCGTAGCGCGAGCCTTCGGCACAGACGTGAACCCCGTCCCCTTCCATGCGGTCGTTCTCCCACCTACCGCGCAGCGGCAGCAACAGAGTCCAACAGACGGGTGCAGGATATACCAACCTCAATGATATACCAAGAACCGTCCTCTCGACGGAAGCTGTCAAGGACAGATAGATCTGGAATATTGTCTTTGGGTTCTTTTAAGCCTGTGGTTCTATGTCATGGATATGTACGTACATACGAGGAACGCTTCCTAACCGTACCAGTCGTCGCTGTTCTTTCACCTGCCGTCGTAGGTGGCCCCGTTGGCCCAGACCCTCTTCCCCCGACCGTGCCGGAGACTGTTCGGGAGCGGAAATCTCACGTCGTGCCCGATACCTCTCGATGTAGCCATGTAGTCGCCCTTCATGGGGGTACAAATGTAGCGTTTGGCTTACGGAGGGGGTCGACAAACGTGCAGTTAGGTTATTCATCTTGTGTGTGTGGATAGACATTCTGGGATACATATCGCCATTCTTGAAAAACACCGAGCTTTAGTGCTTGAGCATGCGTTGGACAAACGGCTATACGCTTGTCCTGGCGGGTGCTTCTGGCATACTGCTGAGCATTTTCGAAAGAAAAAAACGCGCAAACGTGGCCTGAGTGCAAACTGCAGTTCGACGTGTCGTGCTACAGCTGTCTGTTGAGCGGGGGAGGAACACGCCCGGGGATCGACTACGGCCTGCTTTGGGGTTAAGGCAAAGCAGCAGTTCAAGATGGCCTCCCCAACACAAACGATACCTTCATGCGTTATCCACGTGAAACCTACGGATACTGAAGAAGGTATGAAGTCTTGCAAATAGATTACGCTTCTCTGGACGGTTGAAAACCGCCAGCGTCAGAACCGCTCTGGCTCGCCTCGTAATGACCCCCGTCTGACCACATGTAGCGTCCGCGGCCGTGAATCTGCCCCTTCAAGAAGTCCCCCTCGTACCTGGAGGACACGCATGATCGAATGGGCATACGCGAAGCATTTGATTTGTTATATTTGCGGAGGAAGAGCGGGGAGAGAGAGATGATTCTTGGTCGTAAGTCGCTTGGGTTGGGCATTGGCAGCAATTCGATTTACGCCACCTGACCTGTTAATGCCGCCCAAACGCTGCGCATCGTCTGAAGTGCTCTCGGAGGTGAGTGTGGTGGGCTAACATCCTCGATGTTGCCTGCTAAGTGTTGTGACACTCATACCCGGCCAATCAGCTGGGTTGAAAGAAATCGAACCCGTTACCGTGACCACGTTGATGTCACCGACACGCCTTCGTTCATCGTTGATTTCGCGAGGGCTCATCAAGCACGATCCACTCGTTTCCCCCCGTTCACGCCTACCTGTCGCCGTTGGCCAAGGACAGCACCCCCTTGCCCTCTCTCTGTCCGCCCTGCCACTCCCCCACGTACACGTCGCTGTCAGACGTGGGGCAACAGACGAGAGGAGGTGTCGACAGTAGACAACAGAAAGTGTCCGAGGTGGTGAAGGGAAGCGGGAGGGGAGGGTGACGGGCAAGCTGGCAGGGAGGGAGTCAGGGGGGGGATGAGGCAGGACGACAGGGGGGGGGGGGGGTGTACTCATAATCGTGCATGCCGTAGTCGTTTGACCATTGACCTCGCATCCCTACAAAGCCGGGACGGAGCACGCCGGGTTCTCACCGGACAGGACGACAGGGGGGGTGGGGGTGGGCAGGAAGACTGGCAGAGGGAAAGGGAAGTAGAGAGGTGGGGCAGGAACGAGAAATAAAATGCGACATGGAATGAAGAGAAACGGAGGACGATGGTTAGAGAACACATGATAAAACGTAATGGGGTACAAGGGGGAGGCGTGGGACTGGGCGGGAGGGAAAGGGGTGGGTTGCCGTTTTTTGGTCAACTATTTGGTACCGGCGAGCACCTCCGTTGCTTGAGGGCTCTACCTGACAAAAAAAAACAGTCACACCCCGTGCCTTTGGCAAATTCAACAAGCTACTGCCGAGCGTGCAGTTGGATTGCTCAAATACCATTCAGTTCGTTTATATGTATGTTTCGTTCTGTGATGGGTGCACTAGTCAGGTGGGACCGGAGAGAGGAGTCCAACGCACCCATTAGCGTAGCGCATCGTCCCCTCTCCGCTGGCCTCCCCCTCGCTGAAGCTGCCTTCGTACAGGTTTCCGTTGGAATATTTCCGGGTGCCCATGCCGTCCTGAAGCAGGTCGATGCGGTGCAATACGTGGTGATGCACTATTAACACAAGGGATGAAACGGTGCACTTGTACATTGTTTTTCAAAAAATGTATTGCTGCGTCTATACAGGTGGGTGTGACAGTATGCTCCAGGGTGTATCCGCGCATCTACCTGGTCCCGCTAACGTCCAAAACCTGGGCCTTGTCCCTGCCGTAGGCAAAAGCCGCATCCAAAGACCATTTTGCACATTTTCGTCCCGAACGCTTCGGCCACCGGGTCTCTTGATGTTTCACCTGCAATTCGCCACAACCCCCGGCAGGCCAGCCTCCGTGCCACACCCCATTAGGCAGAATCACTACTTGACCAGCTAAAGTTTTCTCTAGTCAATCGCCCCCGCGTGAATATTGTGTCAATATCTGCTCCGAACTATGCCGCGCTCACCTGCCTGCCGAGCCTGTAGTGCCCCTCGTACCAGCCCCCCTTCTTGCCGAACACGAACTTCCCCTTGCCATGAAACTCACCATTTAGCATCCAGCCCGTGTACCTCAAACCTCCTTTGTACTTACAATCTGCCTCACCTACCGATTTTCGGCGTCGATTCGCGAGGCGCACGCGGGCGTACCAGTGTGGGGTGGAGGGAGGAGGGGCAGGGCACTCAGATCGGTGACATGTACACTATGCGGTCTGTCGTGTTCGTCATCGATGTACAGACAAACCAACATGCCTCAGCGTAAACGCTTCCCAGATTCCATGTTTCCTACCTATCTCTCCGCCCTTTGCCCGGGCCATGAAGCACAGTACAGCCAACCGTATTGCTGCTCCTCCAGAGATGAGCCATTCAACATGATCCCCACGGAGAGGTGCGTGCATCAGACCATGCTACAAACTTTCCGGGTATGGTAGACCGGGCTACGCATCACTAGTTGGACAGAGATTCGTCCATTTGCGTCTTGTACTCGTACCCTGACGTCATCACGTTTACGTCGGTCGCAGGCGCCATTGTACCCACCATGGCTTCGAAGAAATGGTACAATTCCTCGATATGCCGATGAAAACGTATGCCAAGCACACATCACAACCGAGATCTGCTCCTGCACCCACCGTTCAACCTGCCCCACTTCCAGTCTCCCTCGAGGACGTCCTTCCCTGGACCTCGTAAGGCGCCATGGCCATGGTACAGGTCAGCATCGAAACTCCCCTCATAAACCTGCCCTGTTCCAGTATGCATAACGCCTTCCCCTTTCTTGAGTCCCTTCTCCCACCCCCCCTCGTAGACACGACCGCAAATTTCCTTCGTTGGTGATTTCGTATTGTTTGTTTCCAGGGTTTGGGGTCGAGCGATTGGTCGATACTCTCAGCTGTGAATCGTGTCGACTTCGTTTGTGCGGGACAAGTTAGTGAGATTTGAGCGTGGCCGAGAATTACCGACTGGCACAAGTTAACCCTTGTAGGCGTAGTTTGTGGCCATTCTTTGTCAGATTCGGCAGCTCACGGTGTCTACATGTTACCTCAGTTGGCACAAAGATGCGTGAGTGTAAACTCAACACTTGCAAGAAATCGGTCACTCTTCCTCACGTTTCCGTTACAATTCTCAGAAATATTGAACATGTCACCCCACTGAACAACTTGGGAACCCACACATCCATCGCATGTTAACTTGCGCCCGTGATTGACCATGTTTGTTTAGGAATTGTTAACCTTCACCATTTCACTCGTTGGAAGCGAAGTGCCGCGAGTATCTTTGAGACCGCCCCGGTTTACTCGATTCTGATCGACGTGTTTCCGCCGGGCACTGGATGGTAAGGCTGGCGTTTCTAAACAATGACATCCTATCAATGACTCCAACAACAATGATCATGCTGGTACGAATACCATAGAGACCCATTCATGATGCCAACCTTCCCGTTCTCGATCAATGGCCCATACTTCATACAGCCGAGGCCATGGAATTGGTTGGCCTTGAACTGCCCGTGGTACCTGGAGACAAAACAACAGGAACACCACAACAAGCAAGGGTTCACATTGTAACGAAAAGAAGTTCAAGAAGCTCGCCCCGGGTTCTTGGTTCACACACACGCAGCAAACGTAAGCATACGCCGAAAGTTGACACTGAACTCATTGTAAGAACGTTGAACTATCCGAACAATTACGATAGTCTAGGATCTTGGCGCTCGAGGTGTTCGTTGTAAATGGTGCGTCCCCGGTACCTTTCGGCTTGCGTGCTTTGAACTCTAGACAGAGTGAAGGAACACGACGGCGGCGTATATATCCTGTGGTATGTGCTACAAACGTCACACACCGTAGACTACAATCTAGTATCGCAAGAACGGCGTTCGCACCCTGTGATGCTGTGGTAGCCCATATGTAGTCTGTGGCGCTATCGCCTCACGTGCGTGCGCACAGAATGCATTGAGTATACTGCTTTAGACACTTACGTGTTGCCAGTGATATACGTGAGAACCCCCTGCCCTTCTCGTAGGCCGTCCACAAACTCGCCCTGCATCATTCAACGTCAGCAACGGCGTTGAGATGGTACACACGGGGCATGTTATACACAGAAGAAGATTGCGTTGGCTTCGTCCTGCTTCACAACAGTGTTGTACTGCTAATGAACTTGATCTGGGTCATGGATGGAGACCATGCTGGACAAGGCCTTTGGCCTGCCCCCGTGCCAATCAGGAGCGATTTTACACATCGGAGATTGACTATTTACACTTACTCGAGGTACTTTTTATGTGTACCTGTCGACTGCGTCGACTTTGACCAAGACTCAGATCATCCAGTGTTTAGAGCCTCCTCTGCTCTCCAAGAGCAACATGAAAATACTAATCTAGCACACGACTTCAGCACACGTAGTTTACAGCAGCAGCTGAACCGCCGCGGTTACGTCGCGGTTATTCAAGCCGCCCTACTTACGGAGTAAGTATCGCCGTTCGGGTAGGTTTTACGCCCGCTGCGGTAGATCCTGCCGTCTTCTGTCAGACGCAAATTCTCCGAAACGATCATGACGCATCCACAGGGGGAAGCAACGGGAAAGTACGGTACGGGGTACGTACAGCAGTCACGGTGTGTGACGAGATCCACGTAAGGCCGTGTATTAACCAGCAGCTGAGTAGACCGCCAAGATCTCCGAAGATCCAAAGATCGAACAGGGGGTTTCCAAAGAGTTCAGGAGGCATTCTTCTTGCGATCCGGGCAAACGCGCCCCGGACTTGCGCTTGCGCTTTGCGCGCAGCCCCTTGCTCATCAGGAGCCACACCACGATCCCGATAGCTTCACCAACGGAGATACCATCCGAGACAAGGAGACGCGTGGTTGGGCAGTAGTTGGGGCGGAACTCTAACAGGAACACAATAGAAAAAAATGTCTACCGCAGAGAAGGGTGGAAACAAGTAAGATCGGCCTATCCTTCGTGTGCTGATTTTGCACCCGATGGCGACCATAGGCGAAAAGCAGCTGCCCCTGTCGGGATCGCGCTCACTCTTGAGGCAATTGAGGCCGAAAGGGAGTAGTAAGGGATTGCTGCCGCGAGCTATACCGGGTCGGAGCGATAGCTCCAGCGCGGACGAACGTGTGAGTAGTCGAGAGTTGGCTCTGTTGGTGTTTGTCTTCTGAGGTTCTGCAAATTTTGCGCGAAGTCTTCTAGTTTCCCGGCTTCGGGGTCCGACTAGAAAATAAGATACAAAACACATGGCGCAAAGAAGCCGTCGACACGCCGTATACTGTACGCTCGTGTCATTTGTGGGGCGTTCGGAGCCCGGTAGTCTTGACACACAGCAATTATTGCGCTGTAGAAGGCGTTGTAGCGTGGGCCTCACTGACGGCGATGGTAATTGACTATCACTACTACGAACGGGTATAGCAATACTGTACCATGTCTGTAAACATGTCGCAGGAGGGCAGTGCGAGCGAAGACGCATCCACTAGAAGCAGCAACGGTAGCCGGAGTTCTTCCGATGCCGACCTCGATCGTAGTACGACAGCCCCAGCGCCGAAGTCCTCTCCTTTTCGGTCGATGCTCGGCAGTGGGGGAGTATCGGGCACGTTAGCACTGACTGGTCGATTAGGGCGCCTGCGAAGGCTTGATAACACTCAGGATAAGGCTAGCAGCGGAGGCTTCCGCAGAGAAGGATCGGGGCTGGTACCAAGGCTCGGAAAGGGGAAGAGGTTGCGGGGTGGTGCCAAGGCTCGTCCGCCGATACAGCATTCCGAAAGCCTCAGTTCGGGCGAAGGGACACAGGGAAGCAGCGAACGAGACATCAACATGGCGTCTGGCGACGACGTGATGAGTCCTGCCTCGTCGAACGGGCAGGGGTTTCTATCATCGCCTGGAGGAATGACGACGAGTAGCTCGGACGACGACCCGGAGCTGGATAGCCCCCGTCGTAGTACGAACGCCCGCAACGGTGGCAGCGGCGGTGTCCCTCACTCGAAGTCCCTCCTCTCTGCTGGTAAAACCGTCTCTCACGCGAGTCAGCTCAAAAGAGGTCTTCTTCGGCTCACCGGTCGAACGCCTCGGCAGCCTCCCGTGCCCCGCGTCTCCACACCATCCAACTCCAGTTCCGCAACGAGCGAGGAAGAGGGGGGCGGGGAGCAAGAAGACCTGGCGGAATTCGCCACTTCGCCGGGAAGAAGCGTGGCAACACCAGAATCGTCCCTCATGGACAGCAACCTCGGCAAGAAAGGCCAGCTGAGCAGAGGCGGACCCCCCCGACGAGGTCTCGGCAGGACCAAGCAAGACGAAGGCAGCAGGCCGGGACAACGAAGAACTGCCGGCAGCAGGGGCGGCGGCGGTGGCGGGTCTACCGGCCGTTCTTCTCGGAGCGGCGTTGAGTCGCCGCACAGGCGGCATGGATGGGGTGTGCCTTCCTGGCGGCGTCTGGCAGGTGGGCTCGGTGGGTGGGGTAGCCTCGACGATGCTGGCGATAATGAAGTGGCACCCGTGTCAGGGGTAGGCAGACCTGCCGCTGGGATGGTGGAAAACGCCATGTACGGCTGGTTTGGCGGAATCGTTGGACGGACGTGGCCTAGGGCCGGGCTTGCGCTACGGCCGGTAGTGGACGACGAGGGTGCCAAGCAGGTGAGTTCTTTTCTGGCAAGCATGAGATCCGATAAAAATTGGGGAGGGAGGTATGGCGCGAGCATGTTGCATGGACTGACGCCGCCGAACAAGAAATGTTTCAAGCCGCATGCGTTGGGATTGCTAGGATATGAGATAACACTGTAATATCAATAGTCTACATTTGCTCAAGTACCTATTAGGAGTCAGGCGTGAATCAATGGGTTCTTTGGGCATACAACGGCGGCCAACTTTGACAGGGCATCATCCTGAACACGATCATAAGCATGAGGCCAAAGGTTCAGTGACATGTTTAGTTGCCTTTGGGTGGGAAAAAACATTCTCTGGCGCACGTTTTCAACGCATGAGTGTGAGCGCATACTGGAGGGCGTAACACTTCATAAACTTAGACGCTTTTCTAAAGTGAAGTGTTTACCTTGTGCTCAGCTTGTTGCTCAGCTGTGGTATGGTTTGTGTCCCCTATGAAATTGGACTACTATGGCAAGGCAAGGCACCGTGCGAAGCCAGCGCCTTGCAAAGTCTTCTTTTCGGAATCTAACTATGGCATTCTACACCAGTGGGACCGGGCACAAGGTTCATGAACTTAGTAACAGGCGTTGCCATCCCCGTTCAACCTCCGTTCAGATGCGCGCGCGAGTTAAGCCACGCAGGTCTGCTGCTGAAGAGGATGTTATAAGGTGAGGGCGGAGAGGGGGGTGGTCGCCCTTCGTCAGTCATGAACACGCCGAATATTCTTCGGCGTCAAGGGGGCTCAACTCCCAGGCGCACGTATGAAAGCTGTTCCCATCGACATGCGGCAAATCGAGAGAGAGGCACACACCGAACTGTGATAGCAACGTGCACGGATGGGGAGGGGGGCACACCGCACACGTGAACACTCAAGCTAATGTTTTGATGTAGCCAGAACGCCCAAAGCGGTGACATACTGTATAATACAGTGTACGGTGGCTCTACCAAACAGGCATACTGCAGCACTAATACTCGGTAGATTGGTGTTTTTTCTGTCTTGACATGCCATACCTTGTCTCGACGGTGCAGGGTGCACGTGATCAGCGCGGACGCCCTTCCGGAAGATTCCCGCATCACTCGGCCCATGATCATCGTTCACATCGTCGACTCGTCCACGGGGAGGTACCTCGCAAGAAGACCCTCCCCGAAGGTTAGTAAATCAAGCCGCACGATGCTATAATACACAACACTGACCGACGTCGTGGTCGACACTCGTCTCACCAGGGATATGACTTAGCCTTTTCCCCGGAATAGACACACACACAGCACGAGTATTAGCCTATGATGACGGCATGTCGAACGGTGAAAGCCAAAATGTACAGCACCCTCGCTCAACTGCCCGCAGAGTGAGGAACCGTGTCCCTCGAAGTCCAACACCCCATGTTACACACACGTCCCCTTCCGCAAGAAGCAGGCCGCGGCCGCGGCCAGCGGTGGCGCAGCGTTTTCTCCGCGGCAATTCAATCGCGACGGTGCTGGTGGCGAGGTAGACCAGACACGAGGACACCCGCCTCCCCCCGCAGGAAAGCCACAGCAACAACGGGAGAGGAGGGGTAAGTCTGAAGAAGAGGATCCGGCTGGAGAATACGAGCGGGTCGAGGTCGGAGGCGCAACGACGACCTTCGAAGAGCGGACAGTGTGGGATCTCACAGCTGTGAGTTTGCTCTGCGGTGAATTCTGACCTGCTGCACCGTTCGTGGTTAGGTGCAGCAGTGGCGTGATTTGTGATTTACGCCACAGTAGAAAAAACTCCGTGCGCACGGGGGTGGCGTGTGTTCTTCGTGGACGGAGGTGCCGGTTTACTCGTGGTTTTCTTGCCGGTGGTGCTGCTGTAGCCAGCATTCATCTCAAGGAAATGCCGTATCGCGAAACGAGTTCCCAATACACGACACCGCACAGCTGGCATACACTCCTTGCCTCGGTTTTCTGACTTTCGCCTGCGTCTGTGCCCCATGCCCTTTTCTCAACATCGCATCGTGAATGCTCTCCCCCTGACTCAACATCGCATGTCTCCGGTGATCCAGAGTGACAGGCCAAAAACAGGGCGTGCTTTTGTAACTGTGCCCCCAGCGGCTACCCAGCCGTGGCTGATGACCATGCAGTCGTCGACGCCCGTTTGGGAGGAGGCCCTGGTTTTCACTGAGAGCTACCGACGCCTTCTCGCTCCCGAAACCCTCATGCTGTTTGAACTGGTGGACTTTGCGATGACTCTGTCACGCAAAGAGGCTCGTAAGGTTAGCTTCGTCAAAGTGGTCTGTGGTGGATCTTGTTCGTTTACCGTGGCTGATACAGAAACGCGCACTGAGAGGAGTGCTCGCGTAATTTAGTGCCTATCGCGCATGAAGGTTTTTTGCCTTTGTGAGAGGTAACACGTGAGCCTGGCTTTGCTGGTTTTGGAGATTTGTCCGACGTTCGAATGCGCCCATGTTCCGCAAGAAAGGCAGAGAAGCCGAAGAGTTAAACGAATCTCTTCTTACCCCGGACTCACCCCATGAGTAGCTAGGGCATCAGACTCAACCCCCACTCGGGCGAGAACACCCTGCTTCCCTCGCGTTGCACAGGGCGGCGGCTTGGTAAAAATCGCATGGGCTTTCCTGAAGCCGGTTGGGGCACAAGGGGAGTGCAACGTGGGTGTCAGAAACGGCGATCATTTTCAGCCATCGTCGTCCTCCTCGCAGGAGGATAGCGGGTAAGGGCGCCGACGGAGAGAGGAAAAAGGGAAAAGAGAGGGTTGCCGTACCGTGGCACCACAGTAAATACTTGCTTCCGTGGTAGCCAGCAGCGGTCGAGAAAGTGGTGCTAAGAACTTCGCAAGCGTTGATATGGAACCACTTGCGCAAAAACACTTCTGCTTGAAATGCGGCACTTTGTGCGGTTTTACCAAATAGGGAGAGCGCGGGGGTCTCCGGAGTACCACTGCGCTCATGGAGAGGATACTGTCACCTTCCGCGTCGTATCACGTCCCCCTTGCCGTCCTTTTCTCGCCCACCAGGCACAACCAACATGGCCGGCTACCCGACACGCTTCGTTCCCACTCTGTGTAGGGCTGCCAGGATCCGAGGGTCGATGGTAACATACACACAATTTCGGCAGTGTACCAACGATACCCTACCTTAACCTACAAGGAACTTTCCTACTCATCAATCCCGTGACAGGGGCGGCGACTGTGCCCGGAGGTCAAGACTGCAGCTTTTCCAGCACCAGCCTCTCTCGATGCTGGCAAGGTGGCAGGCGCGGCGAGAAGGCTTCCCCAGGCTTCCCCCTCCGGCGGCCTCCGACGTCCCGGATGTTTTCCTGCAGTTCCTCCTCGCCAACAGGAAAAGGCAAGGCGTCCGCGCGCGTAACACCACACCTGTAGTCGTATCAGGGAGGAGCACAGAATGTGAGGGGGGGCGAGTAGTCATAGCCATGCATGCCGTAGTCGTTAGACTTTTGGCCTCGCATCCCTACAAAGCCGGGACGGAGCACGCCGTTTTTTCACCGAACCAGGCTAGCACATCACCAGGTGGAGGGGCGCTACAAATAGAGACGGGTCGGCGGACAGGTAGTCCTATCGATAGTTTGTTCCTAGCCAGGGGCCGAGATCCATACCTTGAGATTTTCCCACGGGTATGCTGGCAGGAATGCTTCCGATAAGGTCGTCCCCCTCCCGTATCCTTCAACAATCAAAATCCTCGCGTTTCCCTCTTACGCGGTGCGACACCCACGCCGGTAGATACCCCGCGACGCTAGCAGTATCCGTGGGACCAACACCCCGTCCTACACCTGTGCTTGTGGCGAGACGCCCAAAGGCGTCACACGAGCGAGAGCATCACAACCTCAGGTGTGTAGTGTATGTGGCTGTCTGCGCACCGAACGTGGTCGAACCTTCGGTGTAGTGCCACAACCGGCATCGTCCGCACTTGCGTTCTGTCTGTCCCCCGACCCCTACTCCCACCGCCACCGCCACTGCTACCTTGCTCTAGAGGACTTGCCGTACGCCGCAAACAACACCCGATTTTCACCCCTAAACCTGCAAAAACAAATGGCATGGTCCGACCGATCGGCAGCTATGAGGCCCTCGCCGCCATGCGCCAGCAATCCCGAGAGGACCGGGAGAACGACGAGGCGGCGGGCATCCTCCCGGCGGGGGGAAGGAGCGGCAGAGACGGCGGCGGTGGTGGCGGCGGCGGCAAGGGGGCGAACGCGTCGGCGGTGGCGCGCACGAGGCGGCTGAGGGACAAGAACGAGCCTTGCGTGCTGCCTGACCGTCTCCTTCACCGGGTAAGCACAGATAAAGCGTCCACGGGGATCGAACCATCACCATCATACCTCGCAACGCAAGCGATGAGCGAAGAAAGCATACAAGCACTGCGACCGAAAACCCTTTTTAGCTGTTTCGCCGAGTCGACCGCATCACACGATGTCTCTCACTTTCGACCTGCCTACGACATACCCACCAAGGTCTACGCGGGCCAGAACGGCGCCATGACGCTGGCCTTCTCGGGGTCAGGCTCGTTGCTTGCGGCCGCTTGCTGCGATGACCCTCTCCCGGGACGGTTTCCCATCCGCCTCATCGACCCGGAGACGGGGAGGTGCCGCCACGAGCTCGGAGGGCACGCGTGCATGGTGTACTCGCTGGTGTGGTCTCCCGGAGATTCGTTCCTGCTGTCCGCGTCGGCGGACGGCACGGCCAAGGTACACGGTGTGCGACGCCCCGCTGGCGAAGGGGTAGACCTGAGCGACACGTTTTGTTCTGTGGATGCGAACACGCAGTACGCGGCACGCCGTCCTGCAGTGTATACGTTGGGCACTTGGGCGGGGGAGAAATCCGTTGCAAGGGATGTGGTGCCCGTTTTGTAGGAAACGTGCCTTGTGACTGTCCTGATCTGCTCGAGTCGTGACGAAACCGATATCGGTTTAGTGTCCAACAGAGAGATAAAACCGCCCCACAAATAGACTAAGGTACACTCGTTTTGAGATTCAGCCATCAGCCAAACCCGGCTTTCGGCTAAATAGTTACAGACTAGAAAACTGCAACACATTCGTTGCTACTGGCTGCATAATAAATCAAAGCCACAACAACCAAGAGCTCTGTCATGAACACTACAAGCAAAGGAGGGCGCCGCAAGCAAGCAACCAGGCCAGCTCTACGTAGCTATGCAACCAGCTGAGTATCGCCGTCCTCGTTTATTGCTCTGGAAAGGTGTGGCGCATATCCGCTGTGAGCAACGCGGGGGGGGTCGGAAACACTGGTTCGCACCCCGGCGAGGGGGCGCCTGCAAGCGCGGAAGGCTTGCCGGCAACGGCGACAAGGCGGGTGTCATGTAAAAGTTGAAATCAGTTGCTCTACATCCCAAGGCATTTCTTCCGCTGCTGGCAATCTTTGCGCGGTATGGTATTCATAGTTCCTGTGGTCAACAGCTGCGCGGGACGGATGACGAGCAGTTGTCTCTACCGCGCGTGTGGCGTTTCGGGCACGTTTTGTAGACACACTTCCACCTCTAGTCGCAAACATGCCGGAAAGACCACGTGTCTCGTGTGGTACATTGAAAAACCGCGCATCGTGGTGATACCTTTTCCCCACACGCACTCGCGACAAACGTTGGAGTTCCTCGACCAAGTTTCGCAAGCGGCAGCCCTCTCAAGTCATCTCCACGCCAACTCTAAGCCCGTCGAACGACGGGTCTCGCTCCCGCGTCGCGGCCCCTCCCCCCCTTATTGTGCCTCTCGTGCCATGTCATCTAGAGGTGGCAAAGATGATGGGCCGCGGCTGGCGTGCGTCCTCCAGCACGCACCGCCCTGCTTCGTGTACGCGGCCGTCTTCCAGCCGGCCGAGGTGATGGACCGTACTCGCGGCACCACGGCAACCGGTGAGAACCGAAAGTAAGGGAGAGGAATACCCAAGTTGTCTATTAATACGCCGCTCGTGGACTTGGATGTCCTTGCCGTCTTCCTTCGAGAAGAGTCACCGCTCCGTGGAGAGAATATTTGGTGAAAATACTTGTTACTTTGCTCGTGTGGCTTGGCTGCATTTATAGCTATTGTCGTTCAAGAAAGTCTCCCCCTTCTAAGTACTCGTCTTCTTCTCTCACGAGCGTGTAAGGGGTACGTCAGGATTTCCTACGGACGGTACAACAACGACATACACCGTCCCCCTGAGAAACGAAGTTGGTCGACGTTTCGAAACTTATTGCCTGGCCGTCGTAGTTATGGGACTTGTTGCTCCAGGTGATTACGATGTGTTGATGGGGATCGGACCCGAAGTGCCAACGACGACAAAAGAACGAACGCATTGAGCAATCGCTCACAATCGCAGGGTTTGGTAGGAATACATATGGAGATGTCACCTCTCTCGCTTGTGTATATATTCATCACAGTTACTGATGACACAAAACGTGCTCACATTCCCCCCGCCGAAGACGCTGCCCCGTCTCATGACTTAAGCAAGCAACAAATGAGCATCCCTCCTCCGCACAATCTGCACTGAAGTGGCGGTATTGGTGTCACATGAAAAATCCCCCGTCACAATCTCGGAACCGGAACCCAGCGTTGGATCATCAGTCTCCATCCTCTGAGTCGAGCGAGTGCGCCCTTGTTGTGACGGGTGCGTACGACCGGCGTCTCCGGCTGTGGGACACGACGGCGGCGGTGGCCACGCCCGCGAGAGAAGGAGGACGGGCCAAGATGCTGGGAACGCTCTCGAGCAAGGTCCGTTGCCACGCCATCCGTTTCGTGTGTACCACGCTCGCTCGTCGAGTGTTGCCAGTGTCGAGGCTGGGAGTGACCTCCGCCGCCACGCCGGCTGGACTTGAACCATTCCCTTTTGCATGCACTCCCGCGGGAACTAGTAGAGGAAAGGTCAGCGGCTACATAGTTTTGCCGATCGAACGCCGAAACATCCCTACACGCTCGCTCTTGTAAACGTGTTGCAACCGTACCCGACGGGTCGAAGGGAAGCTGCTGTGCTTCTTGCTGGCCATCCTGTACCGTGAGGCCAGCGAACAGTAGTGCATGTGCTTCGTCTGAGCGGTGCTCAAGGGCTTCCCCCACACCCTCCCCTCTTTTTAGCGGTTGGCCAATATGGTACCTCCGGGGGGGCACCTGGACAACCCCCCTCCTCTCGATCTTCGTCGTTTCATGCACGTTACATGTTGTACCGGTGAGACTTCCAGCTGCCCTCATAAAAAAAACGCACACGCACAACCACCAACAACCACTTCTAAGACAGGCAATCTGATCATGCCACGCCGTACGTACACTTGCCTGACGGTGCCACGGCAAAAGATGGTGCACGAGAGCCACGTCAACGCGATTGTCTACGACTCGAGGAATAGCCGCCTGTACAGCGGGGACGGCGCGGGCGTCATCGTTGTTTGGCGAAGGGGCGGTGGCGGCCAGGGGGGTGTGGAGGACTACGGTATCCTCCGGAAGGTGCAGCACGCGGACCTGATCGGGAAGGCCATCACGAGCCTTGCCCTCGCCCCGCGCCTGCGGAGGGGCCAGCTGCTGGTGCAGGCGCACGGAAACACGCTGCGTCTGCTGGACCTGGGCACTTACCGGGTGATGAGGATGGGCGACCCTGCCCTTGGCTCCAATGTAGACAGACTACCATCGCTTTTCGCTATCACCACCATCACTACGAACGGCGTCAGTATCAGAGTCTACAATCCTGATCGCAATGGCCGCAACACACTCTTAATCACCCCGCGTGCTTGATAAATTTTGCTATTAGTCCACGGATCGCTATGGCGATTTTCACTCCCCCCCCCCCCCGCTCAATGGGCAATGGATATCCTCGCCACACGAGATAGTATCGTAAACGAGAATATATAAGGGCGTGGCCCTGACAGGTGGACAATCAAGGGGAGTATCACACATATTTGCAGCAGATATCAATACGAGTAAGAACGGTGATGCTCTGCCTCGAGAGGGTTGATTAGCCAGCGGTCAAAGGATTGAGGCAAGCAACAAATGTGCACCACATGCCACCTCGTCATGCACACCACCATCTTACATACCAACGAAAACAAAAAAATGCTGCAAGTATTTGTATCACGGCCTAGGGTTTTTAGTCAAGATGCGAGATAAACCAACAACTCTCGATTGCAGTGCGTGTTCCGATCCCTGTCCTGTTTGATCGCCACACCAACGAGCGATGTTGCTGTTCCTAGACGCGTGGCTGACTTGACTTCCTCCTCCCGTCTTCTGCCGCCACATACACACCTCAAAAGTTGGTGAATCCCGGGTTTGCCGGCGGGGCCACGGCCAAGTCACTGATCCGGGCGTCCTTCAGCCCCGATGGGCGTTTCGTTGTATCGGGCTCCGAAACGGGGCGGGTTCGAGTGTGGGAGTCTCAGGAGGGGAAGCGGGTCAAAACTCCTTTGCAGGTGAGCGAAGAACTCTCCATGCCGTGTGACCTACGTGTCCTATTCGGCAACCCGTCCGTGAGGACTCTTGACCACCAATGACAGCCGTTGAGCGGTAAAAAGGCCTATGTGCCGTCGTAGATCGTGGTATGGTCGTGATGGGCTGGTTGCCCATGCGCTAGGGTCCAGGCTTTGGTTGCAACTACTACACCTCAGGAAGAGGACAATGTGGCGGGACAGCGCCGCACATGAGCCAAACATTCCACTACCGGCCCCTGTGCGGGTGCACATATGACGCTCGTATCATGACCCCTGCGGTGATTACTCCCCCCCTTCCCCATACATTAACGTGTTGAAAACCTCTGACTATTATCCCGGGTGATGCCTGCAAGGGATCGGTGAAATCGCCGGGCAATACGCATGGCAAACAATACGGGTGTGTAGTCACGTGTTCATATTCCAGAACACAAGGTGTCTAGTTAGTTAATATTCACACTGAACTAGAGTATCATCTAGGGTATAACCCTCATCGGCAGGTTACGGATAGTGCCAACAAAGGTGCTCCAGAAAAAGTGAGAATCCGTTTGTTACGATCCGTGTTTTCTGGGTCGGGAGTCGCGTAGAACCGTAGTCTACTACGAGAAACTGTGGCGGTACTATGGCGTAGAACGGGCCGGGGTAGGCATGAAGGTGGCAGGGGCAACGGTTGCGATGAATACCCCGAGGCGTTGATCGAGCAAAGACCAAGTTCCTATCAGTTCAACTAAGAGTGTCACCAATTCCTCCCAATCAACGCGCGATTCGGCGACAACAAGCACTCGCGGCAGTCCACCATCAACGCTCTCTGTTCTTGGTGCTCAGTTTTTACAAATCTTGCTGCCTCCCAGCGCACCCCCTCCACTATCCAAACCCATGGTGCTTGATGATCCGCCTCTCCTGACGTACTCTCCCACTTGTCGTTGTTTCTGTACCCGCCAGACTCTCGGCACTGCGTGCTGCCTGCGTGGCGTCGGGTGGCACCCCAACCAACACGTGGTGGCCCTGGCGGGGTATGGTCAAGATGCGCCCGTTCTGCTCTACTGTGGCGAGGCGAGAGCCGACAAGCAGGCCAAGGTACGAATTGCAGGTTGTTCACCCTTGCTTTTATTCACCTTCAATAAATGTGCAGAGCTGTTGATTTCGAGATAATGTTGAGATGACCTTCTTGGTAGAGGTTGGAAAATAGTTTGCGAAAGAAATTTTGAGGGGTCAAGTGTTGCCCCCCCCCCCCTCGCGCCCGGTAGGCTACCCGTACCCACGAAATCCGATGGAAGACATGACGTGTTTTCTCTGCACAATAAATAACAGTGGTCCGGCCGGTTGAAAATGGGTTCGCAAAGAGGCCGGACATTGGTCATGTTTGATTGTAGTCCTTGATCACCGCTAGATGTTCCCGTGCTTTGATTCCGCCACTCTCGATTATTTCAACACTCATACGTGAGTTTGTATGTTTCTTCGAAGACTGTGAATCACCCAACGATATTCTAAGGTAGGAGGTCGGTGTCAACCTTCGACTCGCTACTGCAATATGCCTCCCTCGGTTGAATGGTTGCGCTGCGGGGGGAGGTGGAGGCGTGCGTGTCCCTGGCGGCGATGGAGAGGCTCAGGTTTCGTTCGTTCTTCGAGCACCTCCCCCGCGGCGAACCAAGAGAGTTACGAAATGAGCGCACACACCCTCCCCCCCCACCTGCTACCTTGACGCCCGATGCCCCGCTCCCGCACACTATCGTTTGTGTTTCGTGTTTCAGGGAGTATTGGAGACGTGCATGCCGTCGGCGATGCAGGAGCAGGCAGCGAGAGAGGCGCAGGCCTCGGCGGAGGAGCACCGCCGGCGGCTCGACAACCGGCAGCGGTTGAGAGAGCTGAGGATCAAACGCCTGCGCGCCAAGGTATACACATGATGATACGACAACTGGACTCGATCTTGTTGCTGTAGCTGTAGCTGTAGCTGTAGCTGGTGGTGGTGGAGCTGCTGCTGCTGCTGGTGATACGTTGTATCGTTTGTGCTTTGTTTCCAGAGGGATAACCCATCATTGCTCCCCTTGCTGGAGGAGCCTTTGACACCCCCGAAAGTAACACCTCTGTGGAGGTGAAGAACAACCTCGACCCACCAACAAAAATCTACCAAGCCGACAACATCGAAACATGGCTGTGTCTTGTCTTTCCGGTGTGGCGCAGGCCTTGGGACAGACCGACGGACCACTCGCCACCGCCAAAGGGCAGGGCGGAAGTGAACCGGAGAGCGGAATCGTTGCGGCTCTTGCGGCTCTTACGGCCGGGGGTAATCAACAACGGTAGCATCATTGCCAACGAGAACAGCCACAGCAACAAAATCAGCAAGGGCAAGGGGGCAGAGCAGAGGCTGCTCCGTTGTAGGGTTTGAGACAACACGAAGTGATGTAAAGTCTTTGGGTTTGGTTGCGCTACTTCCTTTCATGAAAGTAGTGGACTTGGAATCGGTTGTGTGGTTCCTCGAGGGGTCAAGCGCACAACCAGGGCACACCCACCACGTTCACATCCTCGATTTTCCCAGGGGGGGTGGACCCCGAACAATGGGTTGCTGTCCCGATTTTACTCCAGCGTACTGGAGAATGGAATGGAGAACGGTACGCAGAACGGTACGCAGAACGCCCGGTGCTCTTGGTGATCACGCGCGAGCAACTTGTCACAAAGACAACTGCTTAACTTCTTCGTCAGGCCTATCTGCCAGACGGCAAATCGCTTTTTAGTCCACAGCGCACATCTCTATTCACACCTAGGGTCTGAACTACAGTAAAGGGAGCCAAAACACAATGCACCAAGTCAGCGATCTATATTCGCCTCTGCATGATAGTGATCTATAAACTCGTCTAGATCGCCCCCCGAACTATCCCTTCTTGGCCGATCGTCACCACCACTGTCGCCTCCTGTAGCCCGACCTTGTCCCCCGTCATCTATCTCCCTCCCCCGGCCAGCAACAACAACACCAGGCGATGATGTCTCCCTCCTATCACTTTCCCGACCGGCAACAACGGGCGGCGCCGCAGCCCCTTGTTCCAACTTTGCGCGTGGTGCAGTGGCGTCGGAAACACTGCCGTGACCTTTGCTCTCCGTGTTGCCGGCGCCGGTGCTATTGCTGAGGGCCTCGAGAACTTGATCCAGCTTCGCTTCTACCCTTGCTCTGTTGTTGTCCGCTGTCCGGATCATGTCCTGCCCGGGTGTGGATTCCGCGTGCGCAAGTGACAAGCGCAGCGAAAAAAACGGTCGCCACACCCATTTCGAAAACTATTCGTGCTTCCTCCACACCATACCTACTGTTAGAATAGTCGAGCATGTTGGTCAAATGTTTGCCTGAAAGTGAGCTAATTCCTTCGTGTCAAGAGTGTCCAGCGTCGCAGCATCTAGCGCCGTCAGTTTCGAGAACCGATCGTGGAAGCTGGGATAATGCTATCTGCGCGCGTTCGGACCAGCATTCTGCTGTTAGCGACGTCTGGTGCACCAGAACTGCAGAGGGCTGTATCGCGAAAAACGCCTCTACGTGGACAGACATAGCTCACCCAATTATGGTTAGAGAATGTTAATGTTAATTCGGTGGTGCTACCCCGCACTTGAGCCTACCAAGACAGAGAGGTATAGAGATCAACATACAGAGAGGAGTGAAATAGTCAAAATGCAAAGTGACTGCCACTCGTTGGGTTTTGGTTTCCACTGTCGAAAGTGTGGCGGAATCTAGACCCGGTGACGTGAGGTTACCGTGGACATGGTGCGTACATAGTCACGGTGGCTTCGGTCTCAAGACGTTCTTCATGATGGTCACGCCCTCTCTTACCTCCAATCGATCGTGTCCTTTTTTCAGTCCCGTAAGGGCTTCAACGAAATGTCTTTCCGATTGATGTTGCTGTGGATACGACACGTTTGTCGCAAAACATTGCGGTCGGAAGGAGCCCTGTGGAATCATTCAGAGCCAAAAACAAGGCGAGGGGGGGGAGGGGGGGGGCGTACCAAGTTGTTCCTTCCCTTCTTCTGGAGACTGCTGATCTAGGACGCACCCTGGCTGTGACGAAAATAGCACAATTTATCCCTCTTTCTATGTGAGCCGTCCTTGATTCTATGGCCCTCTTACCACGACCGAGGAGAGGCAGGAGAACATCGGGGTTGTCATGTCGAGCAGGAACGTTGTTTGGCAGAGGGGATTCAGGAGACAAGTGACCGACGGTGTTGAAACGTTCTGAACCGCGGCCTGTGGCACATGCTTTGGCTCCTCTTTACGTCAGCACGGGTAATCTTGTTGGTTCTTTGTGGTCGAGTTTAAGGATTTCGGGTGCATCAGGTGGCTACCGTATACGGAACGACATTGGCATGCGACTTCGCATTAAACATTGCACACACGGGTTAACCGCACAGAAACAAACAGGGTTAAAATGCACCCGGTCGAACATTCGATTCGAAACCAAAACAACTCTCGCACTCACAATATTTCGTGTCTAAGGCTGAGCGATAGGCCCTTCTTCTTTTTCGAGATGTTCGGCTTCAATTCTGATTTCTACATTGCCCAGTCGTTACTTCCCAAGTGGAAGGTCATTTAGCAACCCTAATGATGTTTGCCTGCGCCTGAGTTTGAGGTCGCCACTGACCACGAAAACTGACATTCCTTTCTACAAGATTGCGGAAGAGGAGATCCTGCACAAAACGCAAAAGGGTTGAAAACAGCAGCGATCCGCCATTGGCGCACTCTGAAACGAACGGAGGGAGTTGCAATGAGCTAGAAATGCACTCATTGCACAGGCTTACCTCTTCGGCCCTCCTCCTCTGGTCATCCACTTGTTCCTTGAGCTGCTGCATGCTCATGCCATGCAGCGCGCGGATCGCTGCGACCACATTAAACCCCAGGTGCTGGACTGCGCCGGCGCCCCCGGCGCCGATGTCAGCGGCTCGCTGCCACAGCTTGAAGGCTGGCGTGCCATGCGAGGATGGTTTGCGCTGGCGCCCTTCGTTGCCCCCCGTGGCGCTCGCTGCCTTGGCGGCGAGGGCCGCTGAGGCTACCCCTGCAAGTGGCGAGGCCGGAGGACCGACGTAGCTCCCCCTTCGGTGCGCCCTCGACGCCTCGATCTCGTTGCGATCGCTCGTCTGCTTTTTTCGAGCGTTGCGTGAACCCGTCAATGTCGTCTCACGATTTGGGTGGACACATGGATCGGTTTCCTGTCCTCCTTACGGTCTACGGCTCAGCGTGAGCCAAGAAGCGACAGCTGTCTTTGCATATTATCGTCAGAGATAAAACATCCGACGTGCGCATATCTCCGGATACAAATCACCCCGCGCACCCATCCTCCGTTACACTTTCGTCACCTCCATGGTCCCATGTCCTTGCTTCCAGATACCCGCCACGCCTCGCAGCCAGAGCCAGGTCGTGGCGACGGGCGCCACTCCCACGTTGAACGAGACCCCGAGCAGGGCCGGAACCAGCATCAGGGAACCGTTCGATCGAAGGACGCGGCCGGCCCAGGCCAGCGTCAGCGGCAACGACACGGCCCAGAGGACTGCCGTAGCGGCTATCGCTATCGGCCCGGACACGAGCCAGAACACGGCTCGGGCGAAGACTTCTTTCGCCCTCTCCTTGTGTCTCCAGAGGACGCACGAGATCAGTTCCTGGGGAACGTTGAGCGGCGAAGGCAGAGAATCGAGGCGCATCGCTCGCCTTCGGCGAGGCGGGGGCGATTGGGGTGGGGCGGGAAAAGATTGGGAGGCGTTGTGTCCGTTGAAGGGGGGTAGGGGGGGCGGGGATGTTGACGTTCCTGGCACTGAGAACTAATGGCTTGTACCTTAGCTGCGGTATGTATTGTGACGGTCAGTAGCATCAATCCGTTCCACAATTTCGTGTTCCTTGATTGTGTGGAATCGGGAAAGTCGGCTATCCTTCGGCTTGGAAATTCTGTCGAGCAATATGTACGTCAGTTCTTCGGCAGAAAGAACAATGGTTCATCAGTTTTGGTCGGCCGAGATATCTCTTCAATCGTTCTTGTAGCCTTTGTCCATGTGGGAACGTGCGTGAGATACACCTCTTGTTGTCGACGAACCCGGACGAAACCACCAAATTAATTGTTGGGTTGGTGCCCACAGCTAATTGAAAGACGACAACGTACGGCCAAGGGCGGCAGAGGGGCATTTCTACGTACTCGTGCTGTATGATCTTGCCGCTACCCCATGCAGGGAAAGACATCGCAGAGGAAGAAGGGCGGTATATTCACTTTTTTTCTCCGCCGGCATCCGCTTTCACGATATCGTCGGCAGCCAACAAGGACGCTCAGACCGTACCTGTACTGCGTGATGATGACGGCTTCGGAAAGCACGGCCTCCTTGTCTGCGTTCCCTTCCAACCTCGCGTGCGCCGTGGCCAGGATGGCAATGAGCAAGTTTAGGAGCGTGATGTTCATCACGCACAGGAAGAACACCATCAAAACTTCACCCGCTTCTGCCATCGGAGCACCCTTGAAGACCTGAACGGGGGTTTCATATCGACAACACAAAGAGTCGTCTATTGTGCACCAAAATAGATGTACGGGCGAGGAAAGCGCCCAAGATGGAGGCACACAGCTGTATATGGGGAAAAACGTAGACCTGAAGAGGGGCGAAAACGAGCTGGAGAAACCGAACTTGAAGCCCGTTTGAAGTCCGAACAATAGCTCGTGTTTCAACGGGGAAGACGGCAATCACGATGGTTCCTTTTCTCTCGCCATTCCGCCATCCCCAGACGTTACAAGAGCAAATCGCAACACGCATGCAGGAATGGATAGACGGGGAAAAGGATTAGCAGACCTACGGTAACTTGTGACAAGCTTGAGCCGAGTGGGGTGTGCATCGCAGATGCTTCAGACTGCAACACGGAAGGTGGCGCAACATCGTGCCACAAAGCATCCCTAGGTGTGAGGGCTACGGAAGATCCCACGACTCACCTCGAAACTGAAATTTCCCAACATGCTGGAGAACAGCGTCAGTATCGAAGAGTAGTAGGTGTCGTACTCGGCGATGTCGCCGCCGTCCGGTAGCGAGGCTGACATGGAACCGAACATGGCGTAGAACGCTAGCGCGAACCCTAGGGTGATGACCAGCATCAGCGCCCCGAACCTTGTCAGGTCTCCTATCACGTTGAAGGCCGAGTGCATCAACGGTCCCAGGGAAGAGTGAACCTGTGGTCGTTTTCGATACAGACAAGTTGGTTTTTCGCGAGCGCGCAAGGGGTTCGAAGACACCAACAACGTTCGCGGGCGACTGTGGCCGATGTGCACTGCATGTGCCAGGACGGGAGGTATAGCTGTCAAGTCTGTCGGATGACGAACATCAGTTTCCTGCAGTGCCCCGGCTTGCGTACTGCGACGGACAGTAGTAGCCTATACGATAAAAACAGTCTTACTCTTGCCTGCGTGAGGAAGAGGACCTTCCCGAGTACGAAAGGAGCTGACGCGGCCTGAAAGTATTGTGCCAGATACACTTCGTTCAGCTCGTTCACCGACCCCGAGCCGGTAGACAGCTGGCCGCAGAAGTACTCGCCGTGGCCGTCGCAGACCTAAATTTTAACGAGCACCGTTCACACACGTCAGGCACGAACACCTGGACGTCGCATGCACCCCGCAGTATCGCCACAACAAACCGTCGTGTACACACCCATTCCTACGTTTTTCTCAGCGATCATTTACTGACTCGCAAGTTTCACAGCTCACTCACTGTAAAGATTTCATTCAACCAACACATCCCGTTCGACTGCGGAGTTAAGCCAACTCACTGCAAAGAATTAAACAAATCACCTTCGATTGCTGACGTGTTTAGTCAACGTATATTTCCTAACAACTCACCCAGGCGTGCATGCGGAAGAAGAAGGCGGTCGAGAGGGAAGCCAATTTGGTAGCCTCAACGACGTTCCAGGGGTTGAAGAGGTGAACGCGGAGGGACCCGGCCTCCTGCACTTCGTGCACCTGTTCAATGTGTAAAACGTACGTTTCGCTTGCTCCAAAATGCTTTTCGATCCTTCTACTCTTCCAACCTCTCTGTGGAAAGGCGAAGGTAGATCATGCCGTCCCACCATCCTACACAAGCTGGCCCCGGGAACCCATGCGGTAGTTAACGCGTGACACCTACAGCTGACACCAAGTCGTTGAAGGTACCCGTGTGTTAAACTTTCAGATGGAAACCAAAGTCGAGAGGGGTATGTGCCCTAGTCCTTGCAGTTGCTCGTACGCTCATCTCAATCCCCAAGCCCGCCCTTTTCAACGGGTTCGTTTGTTGCAAAACCATGTTCGTTCGTACGGCGTACTCTTCAACCTTTAGCGAAAAGAAACACGCTGAAACGGGATAAAAATCCATTTGATAGGTTGAAGAGGCCTACAACCTGCAAGGGGTCCGGGGTTCTGTGCCTTGCACCAGTGTAGCGAGGCTAGCCAATGTTTTAGGCTTGAACACCCCTCGACAGCATGGAACTTAGGGCTTGAAGCTCGCCTGGGTCCTAGCCGTACCACACCTGCTTCCATATGGCCCCGACCAGGTACACCAACCACAGCACATCCCAGGCTGTAATCCTGCCGACATCCCTCAGCACCACCACCTTCAGCACGAACACAGAGACGACGCCAGTGTACACGAGGACATCCAAGGCCAGGCGCATGGCCGGAACACCGAAGAAGGCGGCGGTCTTGCCAGCGACACCGGCGAGGATGAACTGCAGGCCTGGAAGATAGGTCCAGCTGTTTTCGTCGCGCGGTGGAGACGTTCGACAGTCGATGGTCTCTCGTCAGTCCCAGAAGGCGGAGGGAAGTAAGTATTCAGTGGTTCGTGCACATTGCATACGCAATGGTGCGAAGCATTTGCCTGTCCTCTAGAGAGGTGGTCGTTAGATTTCACGGGACGGCTTGCTTTTAGCGGACGAAGGACTCATTACGTTTCAAGATTTCTTACTATCCGCACGAGCAAGAACGACGACCATAACCCCCTTCCCCTCCGCCACCGCCTTCTTTTTGGGGGGGAAGGGTGCATGCTGCAAGCGAGGTCAACCGGAACAAAGTGCCTCCATCGATCTTTGACCTAATTCCTCTCTTTCTGTACCCCCCAACCTCCCGACGGCGAGAGTCCATGACCATGCGAGACGTCAAGCATGATGACAAACACGCCACCAAAGCCTCCACGGACGTGGACTTGCCTTGGCGAGTCAGGACACCCTCCCTGAAGAATGTAGACCATCAGCTGGGATTCATCCTCATTCACCATGAACCTTGCCAGGTTCCGGTCCACCCGGCCATGCTCACGGCGCCAATCCGTTTCGCGGAAGGGGTTGGGTAGACCAGCACTAAACTGAAAGAGGAAAAGACGGCGAAGACAGCACGTGTAAGGCGGGGCACGGGCAGTGAGGCCAACTACTCGCAGGACCAACGAGAGCCGCCCAGCCTAGTGAAGACAGTTTCAGGCAGAGTTCATTGCATGGAACGATGCCGCGCATGCTTGCATTACCTTGAGCCGGAGATAGTCAACCACGAGCGGCGTGTAGATGAAATCCACGTGCCGGGATTGCATTGCCTGTGTTGTTGTCGTTGTCATCGCCGTTGTCGTCGTTGTCGTCATCGTTGCCACCGTCGACGTCGTCAACGTTGGCGATGATGATGGAGGTGGTAGTTGTGGCGGCGATGGAGGTGGGTGGCGTTAGAGAGAGAAACAGCACTATTTCCAGTCAAGGCGCAGTCTATGCATACGTGGACGGCTCAGGGGAGGCTTCCACCTGAACAACAAGCGAGAGGCGACACCCGTCCCGAGTTTGCAGTCTGTATTTGAAGAAAATATATACCTATGTTTTGCTTTTGCCTTACGAACAGCCTAGGCCTAGGTCAAGGAGAACGCAAACGAGACACAATGACGACGACGACTACGAGAGCAACAGGAGGCGAGGACAACAACAGCAGAAACACCGACGAACGTTGCAACTTAGAGGGCAACGGAGCAACAACAGACGCAACGACTCGGAAGTTTCGCCACACGCTCTCCTTGCCTGCGCTAGTGGACCCGCGCAATCTCTGGGCTGAAGCCCCGCCAGCTCCGGCTCCAACATTTCCTGCACGAGGGTCGTGCCCACCTCCGATGCAGGAGCATCATCGAGGTCAGCGGCAGCGGCCCCCAACCTACCACTGCTGGCGGCCGTAACACCCCGCGCGATTGTCGAGGTGAGATTGAGCTTTGCCGCCGCCGTTGCGTTGCCCTCATCGACGGCGCCGTCGTGACCCTCCTCAAAGGTGGGCATCTTGGAAACGAGCAGCTTTGCCGGGGTCAGCGCAGGGTTGGTCTTCTGCCCCAGCTTTGGTTTCGCGGCGCCGGTGCCGGCGGCGTTTCCCGCCGCGGGGGCGGAAAAGCGGTCGAAGCCTTCCACGGTGTCCGGAAGGTGTCTCAAGACGGAGAGCACCAGGGCGTTGATGTCGTTTTTCATCTGAAGCAGGTTGTTCTTGAAGTGGGAGCCCTTCTCGACAAGTTGCCGCCACGGCCAGGATTCAAGTTTTCGGTAGCGGTGGGGAGAAGGAGAGTGTGGGAGGTATTCCGAACGAAGGGGCAGGACGAGGGAGAGGAAGTGAACGGACAGGAAAGAAAGGGAGGAGCTTTTGATACTGTGAAATTTTTCAGGCACTGGCTCGCAGGCTGAGATGAAGCTATTCTTTGTCTAACGAATACTACCAACAACAACGTTTTGACACGTACACATAATGAATTTCCGTTAAGCCCTTTGTAGTGCTTGCGATGAAATGCCCGCACGACGATACAGAATAAACCTGTCAGACCCAAAACAGAGGGGTGAAGCCTGAACAATATTTTTGTACAGCGCTCAAACTTGGGAAACGAATAGCCCACAGTCAGCTTCGTCGGCGAAGCTGCCCGTGCCCCCCCCCCCCATCGCCCCCCCGCGATGATGCTCGCTCGGTCTATGCACCTCATCGCACCGCACGCCTTAGAATGCCGCCGCACCTGTCTCCTGGCGGCAATTATGGCAATGTACAGGTTCAACCCCGGGATCAAAGGGTTCACGGCCCACTCCGAAGCGGTCATTGCGCCGAGGAAGCACTCCCGCACCGCGGCCAGGCCGCTCCCGCTCACCGCCATCGCCCCGCCATCCTCGCTGCAGGTACGGAGCAGCCTCTGCACGACCCGGGCCGTCGGTATCGCCCCGCAGGAGAGGAGGCACTTGATCACGCCGAGCTTGGCCGGCGGCCGCGCGGCGAGGTCGAGGGCGGTCAGCTGGGCTTCCGACTCGTCGGGAGCGTTGAGAAGGCAGGCCGAGATCCACGCCGGCCGAAGCATGGCGGTGAGGACAGCGTCGGCCCCGCAAGCGACGGCAACCTGTGGTAGTAGGGGAGAGAGGGGGGGAGTACTCATGCCGTTGTCGTTAGGCCATCGACCTGGCATGTCGGGGCGGAGCGGTATGCCGCTAGTTGGCCGTCCCAGGCTATGCTGATGGGGGGGGTGTACCCTGTTTTGCCTGTCTTAGTTGTTGCACCATTGACCAAGAGGCGGGGAGGGGTTGACACGGAGGCTGCCACAGAGTAGTCGCCAAGAGCGTGGTTCGCCAAATAGCAAGGGCTTTAGAATTGTTGTTGTTTTCGTTATTTGTTGTTGTGTGCGGCTACAAGCATCATCGCCTGCCAACCTAGCTTGGGATAGGAGTAGGGGTGTGGAGGCGACGCTTGTAGAGATGACGTCAAATAGATCATGAGGTCAGGAAGGCTACGAGATGACCGACAAGGGCAAATATTTGGGTATGCGCTTGTTCCGCGTGTCGCGTATTTCGTGCACAGGCGTCAAACACGTGAACAAAATACGAGTGACAGAAAAAAGGATTTAATGCTCGCTATCCTACCTTGCTCTGCCACCCTTGGCGTCTGATCCGTTTTGTCCGATTGCAATTATTCTTGACAGGGGCGCTACCGTTAACTGAGCGGCTGAATAATGCGTCCAAGGGTGTGCTCTGACACTTTACCTGAGCCGGTGTCTGGCCTAGGTTGTTGCGCGTTCCGAGCAGGGTCAAAACCTGAGGGCGGAAGAAGAGCAGGCGTACGCCGAAGACAAGTGCAGGAGTGAGAGGCAGACACGTACGGCCAGGCGACGCCGTGGCATTGACACGAAGCGTACACGGTACTTGGCGACTCCACTCCGCGAGATATTTACATTACGCATATAAACGGAACTGGACTGATAGAGGTTTGTGTGATGTATAATGATAACAATGTTTTCTGCAACGACTACGAATTAGCGTCAACGAGCAAACCTTCAAGCCAGAGTGATTACCAAGGGTGCATTGTTGCTGTAGGAACCGACACCACCGTACCAAGACGAAATTCGAAAGGAACAAGAAACACTTGCAGCGGTGAAAAGTACCCTCCCCGTAACCGAGGTTGTCGTTTTCGTTGAAGCGGAGCAGAGTGAGGAAGTTCCTTTCTTTGCGTGGCAGGATGGGCCAAGCTTGGCACACAGTCAAGGAGAGCTCGACGCTAGCAACGCTCAAAACGGTTACGAGGGCTGCGACAGGATGGCTTGGCGCAGAAATAGACGTTATCAAGTGTATTTTCACCTCGTCCTCGCTCAAACGTCCGATCACCGAACGGAAGACGGCCGGACTTCTACTTCGCACGGACAACATCACGGCCGTCTCCCCGTATATGTCGGTCGACGTCAACTGGCGGCTAACCTGAGGAAACGTGGAAGGATTAAGGGGGGCGATCCTGGGTTTGAGCACACCGAACAGAAAAATTACGCAGTACTCACGATTTGATGGCAAGCCCATAACTCTGCGCGGATTTGTCTTGACACGTCGGAGATGAGGCGTGTGGTAGGTCGATGGTATTGCTGTGCTCGCAAACACAAACAACACATCTTCGGGTTGCGAGGGGGGGGGAGGCGTGCTCATATTTTTGCATGCCTTAGCGGTTAGACTATTGATCACGCGACCTCGAGAGGACGGAGCATTGTTCCCACAGGACCATCACCGACGGTCAATCGTTCGCGGGAAATGGTAAACTTTAGCTCGCATCACGACCGTGCATGGTGTATTTCTGAAGGTTCTTCTCTCAGAGCATATATCGCGTTCTTACTGTCGCCGCCGCCATTTTGCTCGCCACCGCATTCCAGGTGGAGACGTTACCGGCTCTCGTGGCGATAGTCAGCGCAGTCTGGCCCTGTTCCGTTTCAAGGCTCAGCTGTTCTTCCAGCTGCGGGGCGCGGCGCGTCAAAGGAGCGTGCTCATACCAAGCGCAAAAGGGAGGCCGGAACAGATAGTGTAGCGCGTTTTCAAAGACGATATGATTGGCTCTTGAGTCTGTGGAGTGCACTCCCAATGGGTCTGGTTGCGGTATACTCGCATGGCACGAGCGGCTTAGCGCCAATCGCCACACATGAGAGGCAAACAAGAGAGGGAGAGAATGCTTTCTTTCTGGCAACCTCCACGCAGAGCGTGGGGAAAGCGAGACAAACGAACTTGATATGCTTGCGACTTTGAAATGAACTGTGCTGTGAAGTTAGATAGATAGCACTTTCCTGGTGTGCCGTAGTTGTGTGTTATTTTACGTGATGACTACCCGCCTTACGTTGTTCGCCGTGAGCAATTTAGCGATTGCCTGAAATGCTCCTGGCTCCGGCGCTCCCGCCGCCTGCATCAGCGGCGTCTCGCCCAAAAAGTTCTTCGCGCATAGTGCTTCAGCCGCCGCCCACTTGCAAGACAGCAAGATCAGAGATGAACAAGTAAGAATCGACAATCTAGAAGGTGAAAAGCAGCGTGTCGCCGAAACAGGTCAGCGACCATGATTCTTGGGAAAGATCCTCAACGGTGAGAGTGGATAATCTTATTTGTACAGCTCGGGGGGTGAACGATTGAACTGGAAGCAAGCACCGTTCAAAACAAATAGCACAGAAGGGGCCAAACAAACAAGGAGTGCTCGTGCCTCAGGTCGCTCTGTCACGAATTTGTGTTTGGTCTATTGTGCCTACCAAATGGCTTAAAAATGCGTTGAATATGTAATAGTTGGTACACGTCCGCCTGACATCATTGCCCGCGATTGGTTGAGACGCGTACATACCTCATCAAGCGGCAATTGAGCAATGACGGCCTCAATCATGGCAGCTTGGCCGGTCTTGGCGGCGTATGCGAAAATCAAGTTTCCCCTCACGCACGTCTCCGACAGGTGCTCAAGCATCTGGGAAGTTATTGGGGAGCAGGAAAGGGGAAGCATGCTGACGACATGGGTGAACGGAGTTCCTCTGATGTAACCACATGCTTTGTAGTGTAAGACGTCGAGGTAGGGAGAATTCGCTGAAAAGTTTCGGTAGTGGCAGTGCAAATCAAACAAACAAGCGCTACCAATGTCTTCGTCCGGGAGACAACAACCTGTTGTGTTGGTGGTACGGTTTGAGTGAGTGTGTTGCGGGTGTGAGGTTAAAAAACATTGAGTGGCGTGGAAATGACGTCGAATTGTTCGAAGTCCCCACCTACAAATTGCCCTTGATTCACGCTCGAGTGTGTGCTCATGCCTTCCACAAATGATGCTACCGACGATACAGGCAAACGCTCTCTTGCGCCCACTCACGCTCGAGCGTGGTAGCTTTGAGGCTACTGTTGTGAACACAGCCGGGTCGCCGGAGCAAGCGGCAAGCATGAGGACCGTCCGGCCTTCGTCGTCGTCCTTCGCCGTGAGCAACTTTCCGGCCTGGGTGGGTTCCGGGAGGGAGGGAAGAGGGACAGACTATCTGTTAACGTTGTTGTGTCCCTGTCGACAAAGAAAGTACGTTCAGCGTACTTGGGCAACGGGCAAAGGCAGAAGGTATTATGTAATTTCATGATGATCGAAGGAGACTCTCTAAGCGTTCCACCTATCATTTCGAGAAACAGCGGGGGCTGTATGCCAAAACATTGTCAGAGCCTCGAGGTCCACAGCAACCCCCGGAAGTCAATCTGATCCCTACTCCTGACTTCCCAGGTTTCGGTGTACATGTAGAAGCGCCCAATCAATACTTGTTCACGCACCTGACCCTCGGGTAACCACTTCAAAATGGATTGAATAAGCTCCAGGCTACCGCTCTTTAGAGCGACCAAGATCGGCGTGCGGCCGCCATCGACACCCGCCTCTGCTGCATACGCGAACTCGCGTTCGGAAGGCGACGCATCTAACAAGAATTGTTCGAGGCCGACAGCATCCCCAGCCTGGACGTACTCCATGATCGACTTCGCCTGAAAGAATGGCCTTCGTGCGGCCCCGCTTCTGTGGCTGCTGCGCCGGTCGCTGTGGGCAGCCGGCGGTGGCGAAAGACTAGCGGTGTTGCCGAGATCCACGGGCATGTGGCGGTTGGTGGAGCCCCGCCGAATGTTGTTGCGACTGGACTGATGTTCCGGAAAAATCACCTGCCCACGACGCGTGCATGCGGTCAAACCAAAGAGCAGAAATCCCCAGAAATCTCAATATTGTATAACTTGGCAAATATTGAAGTATCAACGTCGACATCGTTATTTTTCTTTATTCTCACCACCTGGCCAAAGACAGTATCTCTGAATGAAATACGTTCATTCTACACCGTTCACTTGTTCTCGATATTGTGTAGTCTATACTACTTTACAGCAGTACAGTTGTACAATGGTAGAGTGCACGTAGTCTACGCATCTACAGTATTGTCTGATGGCTTGCCGGATTGCACATACGAAGCATTGGACCGAACATATACCAGTGCTACGAGCCTAACCAAACGACAAACACCCGCGCGGGGTCTAGTTAACGCCAGAAAGTTAGGCGTCCATGGGCGTTCACGGGAAACATAGACTATTCTTGTGTTCACGGGAAACAGCTACAGCAATATGTAGACAAGTCTACACCAGGGAATGCGAAGCTACCAGCACATGTGGCACACGACCAGGTGGTGTACAAATACACGCACTGTATTTAGCAGTTTTAAGCGTTCCGAGCTTAGTCTACACATTTCTCGCACTGCACTGCTGTTCGCATTGCGATGGTTGGGAGGTTTCCTTCGTGAACCACATTCCCTCACCCGGCCGTTGGAAGCTCGACGGCCGCCGGGGCCACCTAGGGAGCGCCGCATGGCGGACCCTAATGGCCGCCGCCCAGCGTAATTCCGTCGCCTCCACAGTCAAGCTGCCCCAGCCGGGAGGCTGGCGCCCCGGCCCTTTCTGCCTGCGCGGTTCCGCGTGAGCGGCACAGCGAACGTGGCATTGGCGTGTGTTACGCACGTACTAGATCCCGATTATCCAATTATCTACACTACTGCACTGCTGCATGCGCGTCTCCTTGTCCCCTTCTCTTCTCTTCGCGGGTAACGGCAACACACGAAACGCCATTGGCCACTCTTCACACTCCGGGGACAGTCCCGAGCGTGGGCGGCGGAATTTTTTTCCGCCAAGCTCCGCGACCCGCGACTCCGCGACTCCCCCAGTCCGCGAGACGGTCGCACAATTTCGGCACAGCCAGCGCCGAAGCGTCAAAGGCATTTACTTCCTGGCGTGTTGTGCGTTGCAGTTTGATCATTTTGTCTGGTTTGCCGTGTACCCCGCGCCCCCCGCGCGCGGCTCGACCCGGCCCGGCGGCCCGGCCGTGGAATCACTTTCCTCCGCATGTGGGGGTCTCGCGCGAACCCACACTGGGTGTCGATGTGTAGTCGGGTTGCGCGGGTTCGACTGAGCGACACACAGGGCATGGTCCAGCTCGTCGTCGACGTGAATAAGAGTGCGAGAGAAACCTCTTGTTGGCTGGCTGTCGTAGCACTCACATCATCCCCGGAGCAGCAAACTTGTTGTTGTCGTCGTTGTTGTAGTCTTCACATTAAAAACTGTTCCCGGTCTCCGCTCAGTTGTACCTTCTAACGTCCGTACTGGTCCAATTGACGCAGGTATTATTGTAGTTGAAAAAACGATGCGTCCAAAAACGCCCGGCATGCCCCCAGCGGCCGGCGCTCCACGATGCCACAGCATTCTCCCACTTCCAAACAGAGAGTGTGACGGGCATATTAGACGCACGAACGGCAGCTGTAACACGCTCGGATGCCTCGGCGGTAGTCATCTTCCATGAAACAACACCGATACACACTAACGACGGAAATGTCCACCAAACGTTCTCGGCAGAGAGCTGGCGCCACAGCCCCGAACGTTGCATATTCACGTCATTTTGATGCCAATCGTCTTCTCCGCCCGGGAGAGAGGTAATGTTTTTGATGCTTCACAAGAACCAAGCTCTACCGCGCTTGGGAATTATGGCCAAGCTCGGGTGGACCGAGACTCAAGCCTGTACATGGTACTCGGGGCAGTAAGGCAGAGAGAGCAGCAGGTGATTCTTCACCAACACAAAAAAATCACTCGGAGCAACGGCTGTTTTCAGAAGCATCGAGATACGCCCACCAACCACATCGAGTTCGTCGAAGATAACCGGCAGGCTTGCGCTTGTTCCATCACCGTCCCAGAATACTGACAAGCGCCCGATAAAGCGCGTGGGAGCGCTGGCATGACGTTGTCATCAACAAACACCTACACCACGAACTACAAAATACAAAGAGATGGCGGTGCCCCCCACTACCCTAGCGCCGAAGCCCACTTTACGGCCACCGCCCCGGCAGCTGCTGCCGCCGCCACGCGGTTCTCTTCCCAAAGGACAAACGGACCGGTTCACAAGAACGTACCACAACTACTTGACCCGTCTCCCAAGAGAGGAAGGAATAGACACGACCGGGCTACGAACCGCACGCCTCAGCAGCACATGGAGTCTACGGAACTCTGACTTTGATATGGCGTCTGCGCCTGACTGAGCGTTATCGGCTCGGGCACGTAGCTGCGGTTAGAGTAGAGTTGCGAGCGCAGTGGTCACCGGACAACAAAAAGCGTACATCGGCCGATGTGTGACCCACCCCCACCCCAGAAAGTAGCAGCAAAGGAGGTCGGCCGAACAAAAATGAAAAGGCAAGCCGCGATCCCGCGGGGGGTAACATGACGAGTTGAGAGACCGTGCCAACACGTCGCCGGGGTTCCAACGCGAAAGTGGCGTAGTAGTGGTTGGACGACATATGAAACGCGCAGCCGTTCGCCCGTACGCGGTACAGCAGAGGACGAACCACCAGCAAAAAACAGGGCGACGGAGGCGCGGCACAGGCGCACAAGTTTCGAGGCGGAAAGCAAAAGCGAGGAGCGAGGAGGGAGCAAAGGAAAAGGAGGGGAGGTTGAGCCTTGTAGCTGTGACTGGGTGGCTACAGCAATTCGAACAATGTGGTGGTGGACTATGCAAACGCTAGGTATACGGAACGATGGAGCACGTGCAAGGCAGTGGCCCACATCACGCAAAGGCTCCGGTCTTGTTTGGTTGCGTTTTTATCTTTGAACAGCTATGTAACTGGAATACAGTAACAGCAGCAGTGCTTGTGCGATCCACGGTGGAGCAGGGTGCCGCGAAGCACCGTTGAAAAAGGGGGTAGCCCCTGGACAAACCGTCTCAAGATTTCAAGGCAGCGCTCTGGACGGAACACGAGACACAAAATACACATCCTGTTGCAACGACCGGTACGTCTCTCCTACAACCTTAGCCTACCGTACACAATCGATTGCGGAGAGAGAAATGCGCCCGAAATATGCTTGGCGTCGCACGGGGCGTCAACCTCGCCTTCGCCACGCACAACACTACGGCTTGTCGGCGGCGAGAACAGTTTTGCTGTCTGCGGTTCGAATCCCTGGAACGGTTTACCGTGGGGCTCCGTGTTTGGGGGGGGTTGGGGGGGGGGGGGGGTACTCCTTAGTCCTCCCTACAGCGATAATGCAAGAGGAACTCACATCTCTGGCGGCTGCTGTGCACTGTTGATGAGTGCCATCTGCACCACCTCGAGAAACGCCCCCTCTACCTTCACGGCCTCCTTCGCGCTAGTCTCGATGTAAGAAATCGGCTGGGCATTCGAGCGAGAGCAGAATGGCGATAGCAGCAGCAGCAGCAGCAGCAGCAGCAGCAGCAGCAGTGAAAAAGGAACCAGCGAAACTCGCCACACGATCGTCACGGTCGACACACTTATCATCAGCCCTAAACAAGAAGCTATTGTTGTTGTGGTTCTTGTTGTCATCAAATTAAAAACCGTTCTGTTCTCTTCTCAAGTGCAATGTAACATCCTACCATCCTACCGGTCCAACTGACGCGGGCGCCTTCCGTACTCGCAAGCAAGAAACTACTCCAATAGGGCGCATAGTACCAAGCATAAATACAAGGACCCAGATAAATCAACGCAAACGCGTTAAAGAAGAGAGCAGTTGCTGCAGGAAAAAAAAAAAAAACACGTTACTCCCATGTAGTCTCTGGACAAGAACACTACAATAGTTGGCACCCAGATCCCCGCGAACACGCGGCTGGGTTGAGAAGAGCAAATCAGCTCATTCCACGAACCTTTGACCGTCAAAGCAGGGAGCGACATGCCACGGATGCTGACTGCAACCGTGTAACTCTGTTCCTTTCCAGTCTACGGTGGCCACATCAACTACTACTTCTGAGTGCGTATTCGCCTATTAACGATAGAAACAAAAACAGAAACCCAAGACTACACGCACTACAGCAGAGCGAGCTGTTGAACACCCACCATGACGAGACAAAACAAAACAAACAAACAAAACAAGGTAAATTGCCCGTGCTCTCGTCAACTCACCGTCGATCCCTTCGACTTGCACCACTGCAACGCTCGCTGGCGGCTAACCCTACGCTCCGACTCTCGGTCCACCTTGTTACCGATCAGCACAAACGGAAAATTATCCGGGTCCATCGGGGCCGCCTGGAAGAAAAATACAAAGCGCGAGATAGGTGGGGTAGGTGGGGTAGGTGGGGTAGGTGGGGGCGCCGTCATCGTTGATGGTGGTTGATGTCGCTCGTGGTGGCTGTCCTACACCAAAAGATAAACAGAAGGGAGCTCGCACCCTCCTCGGAACGAAAAACGTCGGGTCATTCGGACCCCCATGACTCTACTATTGTAGCAACTGAACCAAACAAAAAAAAAGACCCGTCAGCGCTGAGGGATCTTAAGGTGCTCGATTTCGGTTGGTAAAGGTTGACACTGTCACCCTTGAAAAGCGGTGCTTACGTGATTGTCCCTGCCCGGCGCGCCGCCGGCACCGCCGGCGCCACTACTCGTGAAACCACCGGTGACCCTTACCTGATGCAAGAACTCTTCGCGCCAACTGTCCAGCTGCTCGAACGACTTCGGGTTGGTTATATCGTACACCAATACACACGCCTCCGCCCCCCGGTAAAACGCCACTCCAAGGCTCTGAAACCGCTCCTGCCCCGCCGTGTCCCAGATCTGAAAAGGCAAAGAAAAGAAAACGGCGCGAACGAACGCCGGGATCGGCAAGGGTGCATGGATTGGGAGCGTCGTCTCGAGACAACAATATTTCTTACAGAAGTCATCGTGCTTCAAAGAAAAGGTCAAGGACAAGAGGGTTTGGCACAACACGCGAGGGGGGGAGGACAACCACGATCTACTTGATACAGATGTGGGCATCACAGATATATTTTAGGCAAAAAGCTGGGCGTTCGGTTTGTTTGGGACTAACTCGCCTTCGCCACTCAATACCCGCCTCACAGAGACCCGTTCGAACCTTCGAGGTTGTACGCTACATTGCTGTGAGCTTCTCGGAGTCAAGTTCGGGGGGCGGAGTGCATGTCCATTATGCATGGAATAACAGGAAACTGGCTGGAAACGGTCAACTTGCAATCAATCCAGGGCATACTCTGCGCACACCTCCAACTGTAGGTGCCTAAACTTGGCTCCGAGATCCTCACAGCAATGGAGTATACAGCCTCGAGGGTTTGATTACGAATAGGTCTCTGCGAGGCGAACACCGAGAGAGGAAGTGAGTTGTTGTGCCTAGCATCCAATCCAGTGCGCAAACTCCCGCCTTCTCGGTGAGTTCAACATTTTCCATGGATCCGCCGGGTTCGGAAAAATAACCCTCCACCTAACAGCTGGCGTTATTGTAGTAGAGACGGCATGGCAGCACGTCAGATACAAAGAGCGAGAGAACCAATAGATGCAATGATCACAACAACCACACAACCGGGTAGAGAGGGGCATGTACAAACGAACATGCTCTGCGTGCCCCCCCCAAAACCGAACCAAGAGGGCACGCGGAATTTCAAATGCTGGAAGCACTGCCACAAACTGGACAAATGACCAGATCAAAGGGGGGGCTGTTATCTACCGTATATACCACTTCAAAGCAGGATTTAACGTGGTATAGCATAACCTATATATTTTCTATTGTATAGGATTTAGGATGGGTCGGCATAAACTAGCACACCTCTCGCCTTGTTGTACGGGGTTTAGACTGATACTTTTGTATTGGCATAGACATGAATACTCCCATACACAGCGTCTTAGAATATGGTTTTTATACAACGATACTAAGCCTACCATGGTAATACAATAAGCAAAATATAGACTTTACTATGCATACAGCCATACTAAATCCTATGAAAAAATGCCTTGAACAAATACAAATTGGATCAACCTCCCGAAAAAATGGGGGGCGGGGGGGGGGGGTAGCAGTGCTTCCGGCCCGCGTGCCCTCTTGACCGAACGCCCAGTGTCATCAGCAACAAGTTTGGTACAGTATTTAATAGTTGATCATTTGACCGAGTACATCGTACAAGGGAGTGGGAACTAAACTCGCTGCTTCTGGTGTTGGCAGCTTTCACGAGGAAGTAAGCGGAACAGCTACCTGCATCCCGCGATTCCGCCCATCGAAACCGTGATGAGACAAGGGCAATGGCACGAGGGAAAACGCGGGACAACTCATCGACTAGGCACCACGACCATGCAACGCATTCGCTCTTGATCCCTTATATGTTCACACATTGATAGATTGCCAGAAAGACGTCGTCGATACCCATGCATGCGCCGCACCAGCAGGTGCAGAATAAAAGAGCAAGCACTGCACTCGAGGGGGTATCAGCCCCTGGCCGCGGCAATCATCACTGCTACTGATGTGGTTGTTCGCGTGACCCGCGATCAACGGCCATGCTGATGTCGGCGCAACAACCTTCTAGGCTACGACGTCCCTTGCTGGAGTAACCCCTCCACACGACGTGCAGTCTCCCAACCCACCTGGAGGGTGACGAGCTTGTCGTCGATAACCGTATCCTTCGTCAGGAAGTCCGCCCCAATGGTCGCCTTGTACTGGTTGGAAAAACGCTTGTTGACATACTGGTTCATGAGCGACGTCTTCCCGACCCTGACGAAACCAAGACGACAAAGACGGTTGTTGTTGCTGTTGTTGTTGTTGTTGTTGTTGTCGTCGTAACATCAGCGCCGCAAAACATCAAAGGGGCGAACGCCGACCTTGACAAGGTCGAGGAGGGACTGGTTGTGAGGGCGTCTGCTTCGGCTGAGTGCCCCGTGAGGCGGAAGATCACAAACAGCTACTAGGTGCTGCTATCGGGAAAAGATGGAAGTATTTCAACATTTTTTTAACGGAACCAATCGAGAGACCGAGCATCAATTCTCCGCAATTTGCGACTTCGGAGCGACATCACGACTGCTAGGCGGCTGTGCTCCAGTACCCCTTCATTTGGAGTAGATATTATCCGAGCGCTGTAGACTCTTTTTAGGTCAGACAGGGCACAATGCTGCTCTTCAAATGTGCCATCCTTCCGGGCACACTCTTGCTGCTCACGCACGTGAAGTCTTCGTGTGTGTCCAGCGCGACTCTCTCACCCGCTGTCCCCTAGGATGATTATCTTGAGCAGCGCTCTCCGTCTAGACGCCATCTTCTGTTGTCCCGATCGCACCACACACGCGGTGTACACTTGTGGTTCTCTCCTCCCTCGCTGCTGGTGTACCACCGGGTGCGGCGGTGCGGCGGGGTGCTGCAAAAAAAAATGCCTCTCGATAGGGGGCGACGGCGATTGCCGAAAACCGAGGGTGCAGATCTCCGTAGATCTTGCGCGCGACACCGCCGGAAACCTGCACATCACATCAGACACATGCACAGCATCGCACAGCAGCCATGACAGCGGTGGCCGTAAAACCAGCACGAGTGCTTCCCGTACTCGCTTTGTTGGCTCTCGGCGCGGGCCGCGCGTTAGCCTTCTTGGGCGCCGCTTGTCCAAACTCCGCACTCCGGCGGCGTGATGGTGGTGCTATCACACCCCTTGTCCGCCCGTCAAATGTACCCAACTGTCAATCCGCCGGTGGGGTTGCCGATGCGCTGCCATCGCAGCGGCCACCCTCAACTACAGAACGAGAAGAGGATATGTTGCCAGCTCAATCCAAGGGATCCGCCACCGTTGCCTGGGTCCAGCTAATGCTGGACTCGTTTGAAGACACTTTCGGCCGCGGTATCATCGACGGCCTCGATCGGGAGAGGTTGAGTCCAGAGGAGCAAGAGCGAGAGATCGACAGATCGGATGTCCCCATCGTTTCGCATGACTTCCTGCGGAATGCGGAGGATCCGATATTTATCTACGGTACGAGTCTGTGCGTGTGTGCTGGGTGCTCCAAGAGGAGTAGGTCTTGTGGTAATGTTTGTGGTACCGTTTTGGCCTGTTCTTCCGGTCCGTGCCGGACTGGCTCTTTTTCGTTCAACCAGGGCGGGAGATTAGACCGTGGATGTGAACCGTATATCACGGTGCCCTGTCACATTTTCTGCGCTGGTAGGTTTTCGAGCCCGATTACATTTTTAGAATCACCGTATTTTTTTGTTGAAGGTGGTAGAATTCAGGTGGACGTAGGCACCGTTTTCATCTACCTGCGATACTCGTTGAGCCATAAAGTGAAGGACGCACGTCGACGAGGGGGAGAGGGAGGGAGGGAGAGGGAGAGAGAGCGAGAGAGAGAGAGTAACGGAAGAAGGGAGTGTGTACAGGGTCATGACTTATTCACCCAAGCCATCGCGTGCGGTATTTTCTCCCCCTTCATCTGCGAACTACTACTGTCGCAGGGAACGCCGCGAGTTTGAGGACGTTCGGCTACACCTGGGAAGAGTTTACTACCCTGCCGTCGCGAAAGTCTTGCGAGGAGAACCTGCGGGGAGAACGAGAGGAGTTGCTCACAATCGTGCGTGAGGTCGACGAGAACGTTCCCCCCCCGCAAAACTACGCAGGGGTAAGCTGCTCGTGCGCGCACGATGGAAGTTTGCAAGTGCTTTACAGTAGGATCACCCTCACTATTTTAGTCGTTGTCACATCGCAGTCCATTTGCTTTCTCATCTACCGTGCAACCCGCAGACATGGTGACACCTCTCCCTGATTTCTCGACTTTTGGGTTTGGCGGCCTACAGGGCGACCGAATAACAAGCACCTTCATGCCAATCCCGTTCCCCCGACCGTTTGCTCCCTCGAACGTCATTGATTGTCACCAACCGACCCCGCCCGGAAACATGACAGGTGCGGGTAACCAAAACCGGAGAATCGTTCAGGATGTCTGCAGCCGTGTGGAACGTGAAAGACGCGGAAGGACGTTTAGTTGGACAGGCTGCCAGACTTACGGTGTACGACTGACGCCTTCCTTGGGTAAGTAGTGAGTTGTGGTCTGTATCCCTTCAAATTGTAGTGCGTGCGGCGAAAAGGGTCGTGACATTTGCTTATACAAACCTGCGACGAAGTGTCGGCCGTCTAGACACAGCTGTCCGTCGTGGCCGAACTGAAAACGTGACGGGTCGGGCCCAAGATAAATAGAACATAGGGTTCGGGGGCGATCGGAAAAGCCGGAGGAAGGGGGGGACGACGGACAGGAGGATGATGGTGGTGGTGCAAAGGGGCCGTGATTGATTGGGCTGTCGTTGTTCCTAGCCCTTGGGCACGAAAGCCACCCGCAAGAGCTACTCTCCGTGCGTTCCGAGTTTCGACGTCACATGTAGACCTCTCAATTTGCAACCGGTCGGCGCAGTCTATGGCTCCCGTCTTAAGGTCATTGGGTGCTTGCAACCGTTTCGGTTGCGACTCTCAAGTGGTGCACGCAGCAGCAATTCGCGTCCTATGCACACGTTTGCTACCTATCACGCTGGGCTCGAAATTTCCAACACCGACGGCGGAACCCAAGGTTGCTGCTTGCGTATGCAGACCTCGAAGGAAGTCTGGCAAATGGACGCACAGGGTGGTTGTTACTCGTTGAGGTTAGGGCACCAACCGGATACAGCACTCTTTAGGCTCAATCTCAGAATTTCTGCTCTGTGCGCGGAGGTTTAAGCGGCTACCCGGGCGTCACGCGCCAATGCTCCCTGCGAGCCGCTGTCGATCACACCCAACGTGCACTACCACTCGATTTTTTGTTGGGCGGAGGTTGGAAACCCCGCAAGTCTGTAGCACCGCCACAGGGCCACCACGCCGGAGTCCAGGCCAAGTTTCACGCAAGAAAATGGGATTTTATTTACCGCCTTCCTGTGTGTCAAGGTACGCGGGTAAACCTGAAGAGCTTGGTGGTGTTGTCCAAGCTTTCCGTCTTGAACCAGTTGCTCTGCCGTACTCCTTCATATCAGAACCCCGGGACCCCGTAGTATTATTGTACATGTATCGGGCCTGAAACTTCCCACATCGTCCCCCCCATGCAGGAAAGTATGGCTAAGACTCTGCGCAAGCCCAACTCGGTTGTCCCAGTCCAGTCTGACGGATAAATGGAATCAGCCTCAGCCCCGCAGAGACAAGTACCATTGGTATGTTTTGTGGAAAAAAAAAAAATGTGTTTCGACTACCCTTTGCAGCGGCACAATACCACACGCAGTGGGAGCGTTCGGTACATGCCACCAACTCCTCGCGAGACTCGCGAGAGTGTCGTAAATCTCCGCCTTTGTACTTCAGACGCCAGAGGCAACCGTTCGTCGAAAAGCCCATACAGCTACAGTAGTCCGATCAGAATTTGTCAACTTAATCGCATCCATCCGATTGACAATGGTTTGCGAACGAATGCAACACTGGTTGAACCCAATACACACGTAGGCACGTTCCACGAGCAACCTCCGTTTTTCCGACAAGCCACAAATTGTTCTCCCTATTGACAGGGTCGAGGTTCGATCTCTCGCTCATCAGATGTTCGTGATCCTACAACCGGTTTACGAACGATACACGCTACAAGGTTCCCCGCGGGAGTTAGGTGATTTGCCTCCCGGGGGCGACGCAAGAGGACATGGCCACCCCCAATGTCATCGCGGTCGCATGGTTGGTCGCCATGGCGTTCGGTAGTGCCGGTTTGCGTGCAACCTGCATACTAATTTGCCGGGAATTTGCATCATGTGCGGGATATTTTGTTTTCTCCCGCCGTGACTTTTCGCTTGTGTGTGTGCTTTTAGGCTAGCGGCGTCTTTTTGCTGCAGGTCCTACTGCTGTAATCCGCTGCGTTTGATCACTTACTCTTCTTGTGTGATCGTGTTTCCCATGGTCTGTGGGACTTCTTTCACGCAAACACCAACAACGGGTCAAAGAAACGCTCAACGTGCCCAAGAACAGTCACAGACGTAAACTGCTTACCGTACCACAACAACTTCTATTTTTGAATGTTTCGATTTTTCGGAATGTATGGAAATTTATATGACCGCTGCCAGAGTTGTGCGAGAGGACCTCTGTGTCGCGTGGTGTGTTCCCATGAGCAACATCAAGAGTCTTGGTCCCCGCTGCGGGTGCGCATGTGCCAGTTGTTGTGTGGTGGGTGTGTACACAACATCACAGCAGTTGTGTGGGCGCGTGGCGCGTGGCGCGGGGCAAAAAAAAGTTATGTTCTCAATTTGCATCCCGTTCGAGGAGGCTTGTATGGTTCGGATTCCCAAGTCCTGAAAAAAAAGCCAGTCCCAGCGACTTTAGGCGGCTCTAACGCGCACCACCGGCGTCTCGCGAGCCCCACACAAAACGGGAAATCTACCGACGGGTCCTCTGCGCGCTGTGCAGAAGAAAGTGCGAGAAAAAACGCTGTCTGTCCCAGCAGCGATAAACGAACGCGACCACCAAAAGTTGAAATCCTACATATATATACGTTGCCATTATCGTCTGCCCGATGTTGGAAATCGCTTAGGGTTATTATTAACGCAACGTCGAAATCGTTCTTTTTTAAACGGAACGGTTAAAAGAAAACCCGACTTTTTTTTGCTTGTTCTTTTCGTGATGTCATCCCAAAAAGTACGTTTCCTTCCCTGAATACACGCTTTGCTCGGCACACAACAGGTTGACATGGTATTGCTCACCATAGAGCAGCGATAAAAGCGCAATAAGCAGCACCCGGCACAGAGGACAACACACTTAGAAAGATCCCGTCCATCCGGCCTGCTGTTTTCAGTTTTCAGCAACAACAGGCGCACGGCAGAGTGTCGCAACCTGGGTGTTGCTTGCGATTTCTTCAGTTTGCCAGCTCATTTTTCACGGTTGCGACTCCCATCTTTGACCACCACCTACCCAAAGGTAGACGAGCTCAACAATCATAGGGCGGCAGCCGCGCTGACGGCCAGCATCATATAGATGGCCAATCCGAAAGAATTAGCGTGTTGGAGGCCCTGTTGCTCTACTGCTGCGTGGCGCCGTGGATTGATGTTGATGTGTCCGACCAAAAACAGATCATCTCGCCGCAATTTTTCCAACGGCATTTTGGTGAGGTGGCACACGTCTCTCACACACCTTATTGAGCAGCACCCAAGCACCCAATACCCACGAAGCAGCACGGCGCCGGGAGATGGTATCATATAGACAGCCGAACCGAAGGAATCATCAGCGCTTTGGAGGTCTTGGTGGTGCTGCTGTACTCGTTCTACTGTTTCCGTGTTTGCTATGTGTGATCGAAAAAAAATCCCCAGCACCAACAGCAGCAGTTGAAGACGAGAGCACCACGCAATGTCTAGTTTTGGACCAAGAACGGATTGAACGCCGCTTCTGCCGCTTGTCCATCTCCACAACAGACCTGGACGTGAGTCTGGCAGGTCTTTCTAGCGTTCTCAGTGATGTTACAGCGCCCGCGGTGCGCTTGTCCGATGTTTCTGTCAAAAACACGAAAACGTTAAAAGAGCAAGCCCCAAAAAAACCCGACTCCTTCTTTTCACGCTTTCGGGGAAAAACGCCTCCATATATGTTCAAGAAAACACGGTTTCGCTTTTTTTTTCGTGTTTTATTGGTCGATAACAATAGCCCTTATTGACTTGAAAATGTAAACATTAAATAAATCCGGCTCTGTGTGTACGACAACTGAACGGCTGTGTAGGTTTCTGTACTTATCTGTGTACCCCCGCCGCTCACCACGCCGTCGGCTGTGTAGGTTTTTCTGTACTACGCACAGGTTTGCGTCTCTGTGTACCCCTACCGCTCAGGCCTCATACGTTGTGAATTAGTCTAAAATTTGGCTCTATGTTCCCTTGTGCAGGTAGAGAGACGGAAAAACAGATTACTATTTTATGTAGTGAAAACAGACGTGTATGTATGTGCCACAGCCCGAGCCCACTGGTGGTGCGTTCGACGGACCAGAAAATACAAAAAGCAGGCGGGAATCAGCCGGTGTCTCTTGGTGTTAATTTGCGACTCATCATTTTGAATGGTTAGAATACCGCATGGAAGTAAGAGTTATCTGGTGTACCGTTTGCGCGACTTGCTCTGCCGCATACCGTAGTGGGTTTGAATCACACGTAGCCCGAGCTTTTCTACCCACAGAGCTATGTACAAGCCCAACATGCCACCATGCACAACATACTGCAGCTGCCTTCACCTGTCGCCGCCCTTCACCTGTCGCCGCCATTCCACGTCTACCTGTCCATGACACATGCTGCCAACTGATGCGACAACTGATGCGACAACACCTGGGTACAACACGGACACAGGGAGTGCTCCCCCTGCCCATACACCGTAAAATTGCTTACAAACTAGAACAACCTCTTATGCCTCTCATCATGCCAAATACAAATGATGTAGCATACATGAATGATAGACCCTGTCTTTACTTATGGTCCATGCTGCCTACTAATGGGAGAGGTAGCCATACCTTCTGCCTACACACGGGCGAGATAGGTAACCATACCCACTGCATTTAACACACACCCACATGTCGGTGATGAAACCTCAACCACACGCCTCTATCGGCGACCACGTCAAGAGGCAATGATGAAAGAATGTTCTCCCGTGCCATTTGCACATATAACGACACGAAATTACACAAAAAGGTAAGAAAATGGTGAGACCACTCCCGTGTGTCCGCACATACTCCGAAATGTGTCCGCACATATACATACCCGGTACATACGCGTACCACATTGAAAATACGTTTGAAAACTGAGGGTGAGTGCATGCCCTACGACTAAAAGGGTGCCACACACAAAACGCCCGACCAGTACCGAACACCTTTCTTCTGCACATTCCCAACATAACATATATGAGACACACAAGACAGCTACCAAACTGTCTTGTTGAGCCTGTTACCCGCAGTGGAGATGTCCCTATATGCTGTCTGGGAAACCGTAGACATACAGGTACTTTCTGATGCTATGAATTCATTGCTAATCTGTCTCAGACTCATTTCTATGATAGAGATGGATTCGTTGTGTCATATTAAG